GTATATTCTAACTTATAAAGTAATGCTGTACACCTAAATAGGCTGTAAAGGGGGAAATGCCATCTTAGTGCTGCTAGTCAACCTTTTTCTTTAATTTTCCCTGCCTTTAACTGCTATAATTCTAAAGCTAAAAGCTCCTGACAGAGTGTTGTGAAAAACTGTGAAGTATCAATTAAGCCTTAAATGATTCCTTTCCCTTCTACAACTGTACTACATAAGCAGGAGTTTCACTTGGTTTCATACCACCACAAACAGTGTTCAGCAGCAGTTCTGTTTTAGTCCGGTGAACTAAATGGGCATTGTCTTCTCAGAGCATTCAGCTTGTCACTACTGATAATATGTGAGGTGCTTCTGCACCAAATGCAGTCTTTATGTCTGAAGCTTTGATGCATTCATAATGCTGAGCAGTATTTACTAATTCATAGGAGACACACTCTCTCTTTATAATTAAAATCTGCTGTTTTGTACAGGGATACATGGTGACACAGTGTGCATGACATCATTAATAAATTTGTTTCTCCTGCCCTTGTTTTCCTTCAAGGCCAAAGAGTGCAACATGAGCACGTTTTCAGTTATTCTGACAATAGGAGGACGTCTCCCATCCAAACTGTTTTGCAGAAATACTGGATGACTGCTTTAAATGTCATACTACTGAGATAGTAGTCCTGCCTTGTCTTCTGTCAGAGTTTTTCCTCTAAGGGGGCAGGATTTGACAATCATCCCATCCCACATTGCATCCAAGTTTACAAGCCTGCAAGTAAAGCAAATCAGGAAAGGCTTCTATTATGAATCCCATAAAGGGATTAGAGGTGGCCGCAAAATTGTTTTGTTTTGAAATTTTAAAGTCTTCTACCTTTTCTCTCTTTCTTGCGGCTGCTATTTGCTTTCTTCTGTACCACATGATGTTTATTTGACATGCTTCCACCATAAAATCTTCAATGCAAGAGTTGCTTTATACTACAAGTGCAAAGCACTTGGGGAACTTGGCTAGAAATGCTTAGCAGCCTTATAATCTAAAAACATTCCCTCTTCTTCTCTTTTCAAGAGATCATAGAATCAGAATGGTTTAGATTGGAAGGGACCTTAAAGCTCATCTGGTTCCAATGGCCCTGCCGTGGGCAGGGACACCATCCACTAGACCATGTTGCTCAAAGCCCTGTCCAACCTGGCCTTGAACACTTAATCTCTCTTAAAATATGGGATCACACAGAATCACAGAATGGTTCGGGTTGGAAATCATCTGGTGGGTCATCTCGTCCAACCTCTCTGCTCAAGCAGGGTCATCCTAGAGCACGTGGTACAGGATGGATAGACATTGTAATGTCAGTTTAATTACATTGCAATTCAAATCCATCCACAAATACATTTTGTGCCAGTTGACCTTCACTGTGGCATCAGAAGCAGGGTTTTTTCGGTTTTGTTTCTACTTGTTCTGAAAATTACTGATGCATATGCTTTTATGCTATAGTTGATACCCTGGGACTTCAGGGAGTAGGAATTGTATTTTTTGTTCCATGACAGTCAGAGCTTCAAAAGTAATTAAAATAAATACTTTCATTATGGATAAGCCTTTTATGGAAATATGATCTCATCCAGGCATTTGCAAGACAATGCAAGTCAAGTAAAAAATCCTGGGAGTTATGTGACTTTGAAACTATCTCTACAGTCATATAAACTCCTTCTTTAATAAAAAAGAAAAAGGAACAAAATGTGATTTACAGTCCATACCAATCAGTAAAAGCTGATTTTCAATTTTGTTTTGCACTGGAATTGCTTTGTAGTTACTAGGAATTGCTCTGTAGTTTTGTTTTTGCTTTCCCTAAAAGTGATGTCAAAACCAAAATGTCATTGCTCAAGAAAGCCTATCTTTCTTTTCCTTATTTTTTTTTAAATACAGACTGTTTGAGTTAATGTCATGAGCAGTTAAGCAGCCTATGGGATATACTGTCTGGAGACTCTGTGTTTTTAGTGGATCTGAGTGATTAAGCTTGGTTTTGTTTGATTGGTTTTAATCCCATTTTTCATCCTGTAATTTAAAAGAGAAGCCTGCTGTCTTCCTGTTTGTTCCACATAAATGGGAAAACATGTAAGTTAAGTGTCTGGATCATTGCCAAGACTGCAAATGAGCCCTGCAGCAGTGCTGATGGGAATCATAGCTGAGAGCAGTTTTGTATGTTGCTCAGAGACTGTGTTTCAGAACTCTCAAATGACTTGTGAGGGAAGTCCATAAGAGTGGAGCAAGCTAAGAATATACTGGCTCATAACCCTTGCTTCTGTCATTTGATTACATCAAATCATATGCCCTTTCTCTAGCTAATAGGTTCCCAGATCTTCTTTTTCTACAAAAAGTAGCAATCAAAACTTAGTAGTCTTTTTGCCGAATTTCCCTTTTTTTTCATAGCAAGGATTTGATCATCACTTCCTCACTGCACTTGATATCTGACCTTTCTATCATTCACCTGTTACTTGCAGGTTTTTAGCATATATATATGTGTGTGTGTGTGCGCGCTAACTTTTCATAATTCGGCACTCTAAAGGAGGGAAATAAAATTAAAAGAAAAAAAATAAGGGGAAGAAGAGATTTGGAAGAGCAAGGGCTTAAAAGAATGCCTAAACTTGTGTACTTCTATGTATTGTAGTATATTGACTTCCAGGTTTTGATCTCTGAAAAGGATTAGATAATAGCACACTTTACAAAGCCAAGATGGGACAAGAGAGCAGAAAATCCCTTGAAGCAAATGAGGTCTTACAAGTAGGGAAATTCAGGACACACAAACCACTGGGTAAGATTAGTCATGTGCCTGGCTGTCCATCAAGGCTCTTAGCATAAAAAGAGATTTGTCAGTGAGAGGTGAGAGTTGTCTATCTCTGGGTTTCTAACTGTGTTTAGAACTGTGTTCTAAACCTGTGTTTTACACAGCAGTGTCTGGAGAGTATAAATCACAGTCTTTTCCTTAAGTAATGAATATATTTTTTAGCCAGCTGTTGAGCTCTCACAGCTATTAGAAAATTTCAGGTTAGTTAACAGCTGAGAAAGCAAGACCCAACAGCTGACTGTGAGGTTGGCCAGTAGCTTAGAATCCAGTTAATGCCAAACAAAATTGTTTGACTTTGGAGTGTTAAATTTTGTAGGTATATACTGAGTAGCAGATGAAAATAACAGCCCTTAGATACTTATTAACCAAATTAAATTATTGAGAGTTGTTGCAATTGACCACTTACTTTTCTGTTATTCTGTAGAATTTGCTCTGTTGACATGAAAAGACATCACAGTTTCTTCTCACTGGCACTTGTCCATGTACCAGTAAATGCTATGGATTGCAGAGAAATTTATGGAGTTCATATCAAGAAATCCAAAGCACAGCATTCTTAATTGTTTTTAGTTAGAATTATATTTATTTCTCTGGCAAGTTTAAGTGCTCTGTAGCTCATATCTCTCCTTGTAATACTGAGGTAGGCTGTGTAACACTTTTAAGATGAAAAAATCCATTTTGTCCATTTCAAAGAAAAGAGAAACCATAGAGAAGAAACTTGGCTGAGAAAGTTTGCTTTGCTCTAAAGGTAAATGCTAAGTATCTAAAAAAGAGTTTCTAGTGCAGGACTATTGTACTTCTGAAGAGTAGTATGCCCTTTTTTATTGCCATTACTTCTAGTATTTATCCACACTATTTGGCTTATTTTTATGAAAGACTGAGAGCCAAGGCAAGATAATACATACAGACAGTGGTAAAATTGCCATTACACAGTGGTTTCCTGGGAACTTTTTATAGTAAAATCATCTTCTGTAGTAATAAGATCAAGCTCCTGATAGGTATTTTATTTACAAAATGAAGCAAACAATCAAACAAAAAAACCTGAACAACCTTGGAGTAATGTGTGACATCCTGTAGTGAAATATGTTTTTTTCTGATGAGAAAAATATTTGTAAAGGTGGTGTGCATTTCAGTGTGTAGAAACTTTTCAGTCTGACTCTTAAAATGCAGAGAAGGTTATTTATGTCCATTTCCAGGAACATGTCACACTCATCCATGGATAGGCTCTTCTGTACTTTGCTTTTAGCTAACAATCAGTAATGCTAACTTATCTGATGCCCCTAATTTCCTTGTGAAGCAGAGGACAGTAGTTTTTAGGCGCTGAGAAGTTGTAGAGACCAAAACATTAATGTTAATGTGATTGGTATTTGCTGGTACACTTATCCCAGGAAACTCATACTATTTCAGACCAAGCAAAACAATCCCTCTGTGAGGCAGGAGGGATTGAAAAGGAGGAAGGGAAACATGGAGGACATCTCCAGACACTAAAGGCATCGCACTTTGCCCCACTAGATGTGGTAGATGACATCACATTCTCACTCTCCTTGTCTTCGAAGTAAGGGGCTTTTAGTTCTTATTCCTCTATTGGATGGGGCTTTTAGTTCTTATTCCTCCTGCTGAGTTCAAGACAGGACAAGCCTCCCATCATTAATTGGGACTTATGAATAGTTTTTTAGATGCTCATTATCAAATGACTGTAATACGCTTACTGGAAATATCCTATGCTGGGAAATCCTCATGTCAGGCAGTAATTAGTGGCTTGTCTCACATAATACATCTTTGCCTCTTAAGTAATAACTTGTATTGTAGGCACTTTTCCTTCTTCCTTTGTTATACTAATAGAAATAAATCAAGGGACTGATTATAAATCATTCAAAGCCTGTGGTTAAAATATAAATGGATTCTGACTATGGAGTCCAAGGCCAGAGTTGATCACTGGATTGTCTTTCTTTGGTGGTCATATGTAGGAGACAGTAAGAAGTAATCCATTGAGTGGTACCTCTGGGGCCAACAAATGCAGCATCTCAGCTGGATCTCCTCTATCCCAGTAACACATGGCACTAAGAAGCTTCTGATGCCTGCTCTAAAAATTGGAAGGAGCTGCGGCTAAAAGCACATGAATGGGAAAGGGAGACAATAACCAGTGACATTTAATTTTTTTCTTTCCTCTCTCTCTTTTGTTGCAAGGTCCTGCTCTGTATAACATATACCTCTACATTTGAACTGAATGGGAGTTCAGTGCTGAAGATTGCTGAGGTAAGTGCCTCTGTCGTACCATGGCTTGTGTCACTTAACTCTTCCCCGCTACCTAGAGCATGACTTTCTTACATAACCTAGAATTGAACTAGTCCAAAACATAACTACCATCCTAGGGACTGATATTACCGTATTTCTAGTGTGAAGAAATAGTTGCAAGTTGGGCAGGTTTGACGGGCTTGCATGGGAAGGCACTTTTGGAAGTGGACCAATAATAGTATGTTACAGTGTTGCACATTTACTACTCATATTTACTTTACTTTGCTTTTTGTCTTTATAAAACAGCACTGTGCTGATTTCTTACCTGCTGCAAGTCTATAGCTAATGAAGTTTTTCCTCAAGAGAGGTGTATAAGCCATAGTGTGTCATGTTAGCAGAAGTGTCTCAGTGTGCTTTGTTAGCCTTGTGTGTATCTTTTTTCTAATACATCCAAGTAAAAGATTTAAGCAAGCGTGCTATTAGTCATTGTACTCCCTTTATTCCATTAGATTTTAGTCTGAATTAAATTGTATAGGATCTTTGGTTGTAGAAAAACATACCTGCAGGTATGTTAAGTAAACCTTTATAGGTGGGTGATATTTTTAGTACATTTTGTAGCAAGCCACGGAGTTGTTTGTTCAGGTGAGAGAAGATGCACAGGAACACTTAATCCTCCTGTGCAGCACACACTGTTGTGTGTGGAATGTATTATAAAATTATATTATTAACATGGTATGGGCAGAGGAAATGCCCATGAAAAAATGTAAAGATTAAATACATGTCCTATACTCCAGGTGTTTGTAGACATTTAGAGACTTGTTCCTTCTCAGATTTTTGTTATTTTGGGTGGGACTTTTGTAAAAAAAGAAAAATCCCATGTGAAAGTAGCTCAGTTTACCTGAATATTACAATACTTTCCAAGTTTAAGAATAAAATTGACCTTGAATTGTTTTACTGGAAGCTGAGAATGGGGCTACAGAGATAACCAGGAACTGAAGAAAACAGCTTTGATTTTGTAACAAATGGGCTTTAAAAGTCCACAGTTCATGTGTATGACATATGCAGGATACAAAAAGGTAGTAATTATTCCAGATTAGCACAGCTTTGGTTTCTCCTTGTGCTGGGTGAGACTGTATAGTATACCTATTTTTGGAGATCATTGTAAGCCCCACCTGCAGATGCTGCAGCAAGGATGAACTGAATTGGTGTTTAAGGCAAGTCACAGTTTTTTAAGTTTCACTAAACCCTCTTTATGTCAGTGTCCCAAACCAAAGAAAACAGATTATTTCCGCTACTGCAGTTTTTCTCAGTGGACTTTCTAATATGCAAGGCAAAATTTGATGAATACAGCTTAGTGCATCTCTTTGCTGTAGGCAAAGAGCTCTAGTTTAAACTAAGTACTTTCTGGGAAAAATATTTGGTGACTCTAAACCCTTCAGATTTCAATCTTTAAGAGCACTGCCTTAGTCTGGGGGGAAACGGTCAATCAGTCATGTTCTGTGTGCTGTAAGCTATATCAGAAGTCATATTTTCTGTTCTCTGTGGAAATTTGGATAATAACAGGGCTGTTATTCATAAAAAGCATCCTGGAAAATGGCAGTTGTCTCTCATAGATAGACATTAAACACTGCTGTTCTTGGTAGCTGCACTTCACTTTCATTCCCAAAGGCTATTCTGGCTCTTAAAAACCATAGCTAGTGTACTGATACAAATTAGCACAGTGATGGTTCTTTTCTGTTTTGGTGAACAAGAGCTCAACAGCAGGCAGATGAGATGTGCCAGCAAAGTAAACAAAACTCATTTCCTTCAGTGAATTGGAACAAGCTGTAATACAGAGTGTGCGTATTTCTATTTGGAGTGTTTGGAGGTACAGTTATTTTCCCCACACTCCTTGAGAAAATACTGCCTCAGTGACTGCCTAGATCATTCCAAACAGCAAACCCTACCAGGCACATACATGCTTCTTTCTGCCCAGGTTTTAGGTAAGGCAAAGACTTTAATAGCTGGAATCACTATGCCTTTGTATCTGAATTCTGCAATGCATAAGCAGTAGGAAACAGAAAATAATTTCTCAGTTTAGCATTTGATTAACCTTCTGACTTGCTCTAAGGGAAAGGTGGCAGAAAGGAGCTTTCTGTTCCAGTACCCAAGCTATTTGACATTTTTTTTCCAAGTCAGTCCCTTAGTTCCTTTTCCTAGCCTGTACTCTGTAGCAAAGTGGAGCCACTGCAGAGTTGGAAAGGTGCTGCCTTTGTTACTGATAGAAGTCTCTGAGGACTATCTCTGAAAAACAAATCTGCAGTCTGGCCATTTTGCACTGCCTGATCATTTGCAATTCACGTGTACAAAATAATGGCATTCAAAATCTTTCTGAACCTTATCAGCTTCAAATTAAGAAAGCATCCAACATGAAGAGTATTATAATTTGTGCTTAAGTATTAATAGTATTGAAAATAGATTAATAGTATTAAAAAAAGACTAAATCTTCCCCTGGGCACCTTCCCATGCTTGCCTAGACACCTGCAAGAAAATTGAGTTTGTGTTTTCTTGTTTTTATGTGTATGTTTGTTACTCCCATGTACCTTTTGGTGGTTTGTTTTGTTTGACTCTGTTGTGTTTCATTAGCTAACCCTTCTGTGTTTTGCCCTTAGTTGTGTTTTGCATGCCATAGAGCTGGAAGTCCCCGAATGCATGAAATGATCAAAATGTCCATTACACACCTCTTTGGAGCCCTGAGCTCTCGCATTTTTACTGATGCTTCTTCATCAATGGCTTTTCAAAAGGTATCTTGCCCAGCCAATTAGAACACAGACCTTCTGTAAGATTGGAGCTCAAGTGGACAGTATTGTTGCTTACTAGCTCGCATGGGGAGGGGAGAGAAGGAGGAGATATCAACCGTGCTCTTTCCAGAAAGTCAGCCTACCTTTAAGAATGATATTTCATCAATTAAATCAGGCACTCTAGAAGAAAACTTACAGCTTGAAAGAATAATCTCAGCAGCACTGGAATGGTTTGGCCTCTGCAAAGGGCTGTACATGGTTAACAGGCTTTTAGGGGGTTTTTTTGTTCACTGGAGTTCAGGTGATAGCTGAATGATGGGCAGGGTTGGTCCAGGCCTTCTTTTAACTTAGAAGACCATCTTCATCACTGACCTTAAACTAAATAATATCCTTTATATATTTGTGGTGAACTTAGAACCTCAAAAAAGGGCAATGAGATGTGCTGTCAGTTTGGTCCCTTATATCCTTCAGATGCATACAACTAACCCATTCTACTCTGTTGTCAAAGAAGATAATCAGTCTCAGGTTGTCATTTGCGTAGTGTTTCTTGCATGAAGTAACGAGCAACATACATGCACTTGAAAATCTCTGGGATACTCTCTCTCTCTTTAGTTGAGAAAGGGAAAATAAGGCAAGAGCTTTCATGTGGGATGTCTTGAATCACTGAAGATATAGTTTGTATTCAAGAAAACATGAAAAATTGGGGAGTATTTACATTGCAGACATAGACTTGCAGAGGGGTGGTTACAAGTAAGTATCAAGAAATGAACAATCAAATCCACATTTAATGAATTATCTACAGAGCGAGGCAAGTGCCAAAATCACTTGTATTTGACAGAAGGAGACTTTGCCAGTTTTGCCCTACCATTCTTGCAGCTGTGAGACTGAATTGCATGCTGCTTCTAGATGTTACTTACTTGGTTTTCCATACTGCTGAAAACTTCTAATGTGCTAATAAAGCAATAGTAAGGAAGGCTGACTATCTGCATGCGAGAGACCTTGGTATAGATACCTCCTAAAATGTGTTACTGGTAAGTTACAGTTCATATCTCTGTGCTGCTATCTTGTTTCCTCATCAGGTTTGCATTGAGACATATGTATCTAGCTGTCACCAGCGGAGCATTAACACCGCTGTGCGGGCAACCCTCAGCCAAATGTTGAGTGACTTGACTTTACAGTTACGACAAAAGCAAGAAAACATGGTGAGCCTTCTGGCATCAACAAATGGTTCCGTGTCCATGGCTGCATACCTTTTTGTTTCTCTGAATGCAGTGTGTTGTACTGGCTTGTTGTGCCTTACGGCTTTTATTTGACACTTCCGCAATTAATCCTGTTTAAAAGCTTTTTTTGGGCTCTGACCATGCCTGCCTCAGAGCAGTCTATGGGAAACTCAGCTCTCACATTGTCAGCTCCTTTGGTTGGCTGATTTTTTTTTTTTTTTAAATTTTTATTTTTTGTTCCCTTCCATTAAACAAAAGAGGCTTTGTTCTGATGTCAGGCTGCCTTGGCCTTTTCCATTCTTTTGTTTTCTTTTCTTGTTTTCCTAAGATCCTTCTGCTGGAAGTTTTTGCATGACAAATATTTACATAAAGATAACCAATTCTCAACTAAGGAAAGTGTAATTGAGATTTTTCTTCTACTTTTTTTTATAGAAAATAATTTTAATCTTGTGAAATTCTTTGCTTAGTTGTTAGCAAAACAAAAGTAATTCTATTAATTGCATTATTAGAATCCATAAGAATCCATAAGAGCTCTTTGAATGTGCTCCCAGCACATTTTCAGTGCAACTGTAAATGTTCTGGGTACATGTATTACATTGACTTTTTACATTTGTTTGTGCTGCTTTCTATAATATCATATTGTCAAAAAAGTACTATTTGTAAAAATCAGTTTCTATGTATTAGAAAATTTTAAGGACTGTAGTTGTGCAGATTATTTTCCTTACATCTGTTTGGGTTAAGATGATCCCTTCTATTTTGGATTAGTAGACTAGATTGCTTTTATCTCACTGAGCAACTGCAGAACAGAATTACTCAGTTTAGGTAAACTTATCTTCTGTTTGTGCTAAGTAGGTTCACTTTTACTAACCAAAATATTTAGCAAAAACCCCAAACAAACAAATACAACCAGTACTTTTGAAATTTCAGTTTGAGTCTGCAAATTTTGTTAGATTTTGTGTCTGCAGTTTTGTTAGTTCTTTTCTTAGCTGAGGACTAGGTAAAAGCATATGAGAGATGCATTTAAGTCCTGGCAGTTTGTTATTGATGCTTGAGAGAAGAATTTGGCTTGACCCCTTTGTGCACTAATAGGAAGAATCCTATACCACAGCTGAACCACATGATGTAAGAGGTCATTTCCATTTCCTGACTGCCATTAATTCTGTTGGTACTGTAACCTTAACAATGCCAATGTTCTAAACTCTCTAATACTCAATTAACTTTGGTTTCTAAGTACTTTGTGAAACTATGATTTCCTCTCAGTTATTTTCAATGTAACTTACATGCCTAGTTATTACTAAGTTGTTTTAGGTATAGGAGATCCCTTAAGAAGTTAGAAATTTTTGTTCAGCTCAATGAGATGTGAGTTCCTTTAATCTAAATGACTGTTAAACAGATCTTAAGGAATTTTAACATTTAAAAAACATTTTGCAAAAACTTCACTTAAAAAAACCCTAACAAACAAAAAGCCAGAACAGGTAGAGGACATGAAAGAAAGCTCTGCTGTTGAAATATTGTTTCTATGGTGTTTTTCTGCTCCTTGCACCAATTACACCACCTTTGTCTTTCTTCAACAGACAATTGAAAACCATGACACCCTGCAAAAATTCAAGAGTCAAGGTACTTGTAACACTTTTTTAGTGACTCCTTACACTCCAGCATTTTTATTCTTAACTTTCCTTTCATCAACACAATGCTGTTTGATGTCATGGGAATTTCACCTTCAGGTTTTCGTACCTTCTCCGTAGCTTGATATTCTCTCTGTTGCCTGTGGTAAGAACTGAGACAGCCCTGTTAGCTCCTGGTATTTTCAGTTCTGTCTTCATTTGGACCATGGTAATGGTATTGCATTCAACATTGTAATAAATTATTGTTCCAAGATGCTAACTTCTGTAATTAAAGAATTTGTACTCAGGAGAAAGTTTAAGTAAGTGGCTTTACTTCCTAAATTGAAATAAATTCATGGAGTAGGATATAGAATCTGTAAATGATTGTGTTACTATATTGCAGACCAAAGATACTGTTTTTATAATGACCACTTTTGAAAGCACATCACTATTGAAGGTGTGCTTACACTTGCCAAATAACTATTTTACAAGAGAATGTTTTTCTACTCCCCTTCTGGCTCAACTCTCAACATCTTCTCCGATAGATAAAAATAATCCCTGCTTTTGACCTCCTCACAGGATTTCTGCAGAACCAGTGTGAAGGGAGGCTAAAATATTTGAAGAGCACAAGCATCTTTTAAGATCAGAACCTTGTCAGACACCAGAAGCTGTGTAGGAGAGACAAAGTGAAGGGAGAGATACAGAAATTGGCTGCCATGTAGAAATACTGGAGCCTTTTTTATTATTTAATTGTTTACTTATTTTATTATCTGAATTGGATTTCAGCTAATCTTCTGTAAGTGCATGTAAGCAATCAGTGCTCTCTCCGGATTTAATTCTGCTGCTTTTGCATTTTGTGGAGATCACTTTCTAATTTAGGACTTTTTCTATTGCATCTTCTCTATGAATTTTTGTAGCCTTGCTCCTTGTTTAGAATCTCTGACCAGCTCTGAAAGTCCATGCAGTGAATTGAGGTTGTAATCCAGTTGCTCATATGTAATGCCTCTGATCTTTGTCCTTTTTGGAGGTACTTCAGTGGAGTCTCTTTGTGATGATGTTGTGTCTGTCCTCACTGTGCTCTGTGAGAAGCTCCAGGCTGTCATAAAGTAAGTTATTTCAGTTCATAATTTCAATTTATTACCTGGAGTTTGAGAGTGTCATTGATACATGTGATTGTACTGTTGTAGTTCTGGAATTAGAGAGCAAAGCTGTGGTTAAACAAAGTGTTTACTAGAGGAAGTATTGCTTATGATGCATTCATTTAATCCTTGCTTGAAATGAGGAGCTAATTTGCCTTCTTTGTGCACTACTCAGCTTTAAAAACTTCTGGTAAATCTAACCTGTAAGTAACTTCCATACAGCAGTGAAATATTTATCAAAGGAGAAGTTTTCTTGCTGGAAGCAACTGTCATAGAAAGAATAACAAGAGCCATGGAAAGACCTAACAGAAACTACATTGGGAACGAATTAATATGTCCTTCTTAGAAAGGCAGCATTTATCCAATGGAAATAATTTGCATTATCAAAGAATTCCTTAAATTTAGGAATATCATACATTCTACTTACTTGGAAATGCATGAGCATAACTTTAAAACGTGGTTATTATGGGCAGTAACAGAGTGTTATATGCTCTACAATTTTCAGGAACTTACAGAGCCAGAAATAGCACAGACATCTGTGTGCAGTTTTTCTATAGACTTTCCTCCCACAAGTGTCTCTAATTACAGCAAGATTTGAAAGGGAAGAGTGCCTTACTTATCATTATTTAATCAGTGTCAACATTTGGGAAAATAAAATCAAGAGTGCAGGGATGCCCTGTGCATGACCACGCAAGTGTCAACTCTAAGAAGATGATGATCTGCATTAACACATTGTAAGAAGTGTATCAGTTCCAGGCATCCACAGCTTTTTTAGTATTCTTTCTCATGAAGCTTCCTTTATGGTTATGGTTCTGACAGAGTTACTGGCAAGGCCCTGAAAGGTAGTCATGTTATCATGCAACTTTCTGCCTGTAGACATTGACTTCTGACAATTGTGATTGTCACCAAGAAAAGAGGAAAAAATAACCAGAAGAGAGCAGCCTAAATATGCTTCAGAAATTATCCAAGTCCAAAATCTTCTGTTGTCTCCTTTTCCTCTCTTTAAGGATTCCTACCTTCTCAAGTTTAGATTGAATTTGAGTAATTACTTCTGCTTTATTCTTCCTCTTTTCTTCACTGAGATTTTTTTTTAAAGTAGCAGATCACTGCATGTGGTCAGTACAAAATAAATGGGATGATGGTGATCACACCATTATAGATGGATAGAAAGAAGCAAAATAAATCAAATGCTGTAACATATGGTATAATTTTCAAGTGAACAAATATAGTTATTGTAGAAAATTAAATAATCATTGTTTTAATATGATGTGAATGGCATTTTTTTGCCAGTGACAATCGGCAACTTCAGCTTCTTTACTTGGAGTGCATCCTTTCCATGTTAAACAGCTCCTCTCCCAGCATGCACCAGCACAAAGGATTCACTGATCTAATATGGTGAGTACATCTGAAGACTAATGCAAATACTAAGTTTGTAAATATAAAAGGACCTTCTCCCCCAGCCATGCAAACAAACCTGTAGTAAGTCTCCAGATGTGAGCAGAGCTTGATGCTAACCTATCATCTGTTCTTTCTGTGCTTCATATAAGATTGGGTAGGATCTCCTGCTCAGCGAGCACATTAAAGCCTGGTAGTGAATTCGTATAATGAAGTCCAGTATGTTTATCCATAACAGAAAATCTCTTATGCTTTCTGCACTAGTTTGAATTTGTGTGTGGCATTAAACACAAAGGTATTCTGCTTGTCATAGGAGGGTACTGTACAGATTCTTACTGGTCTGATGCAGTAATACAGGAAGATAAGCAAAATTAATGTCAAATGATGGGCTGATGACCAGAAAAGCTTATGATTTGCATTGTGTAAGGGCTGAGGCTAAACAATCTTCATGATGCTTCCCCTTTAACCAAGAAATTCTCTTTTTTTATACACTTCACCAGAAAGGCTTGATGTCTTTGGTGTTCATGTATACCTCTAAATTGTTTGATACCATCACCTCAGAGCACCTTAAATAATCCTGTTCTTTCTTTTTATTTGAAAGAGTGGGTTTTTTATAGTCTGTGGATAACTGAGTCACAGTAATAAAGCAAGAATGTAACTAATATGCCATTCCTTGCAGTTTATGCTCATCTTGTGACTTTGTCAGGTGATTGTATTAAGGAAAGATATATGTGACTGTTAATGGCAAATGTGTTTCTTGTACTTTTACTCTGTAATTTTTAAAATTTAAGTGTTTGACTTGAGCCCAGTTCTAAGGATGGAATGTGTAATGGCACCCATAACTTCCCTTGCTGTCCCAGGAACACTAGGAAGACAAGAAACAGTTTAAACTGCAAACATCGTTTTGAATATATAGTAGTATAAGTACACACTAAACATTACCTGTCTAGTGAAATTGTGATCCCAACTGGTAGCTGTTGCTATTCTTGAAGGAGCTGTTGCCTAAATGTACACACAGGGCTTTCTCTCTGACTAGCACTTTATAGTCAGTTCTGAACAGAAGATAAAGAAGGGAGCAGAGGAAGAAGATTTACCTCTGTTCTTTTGACAGTGTTCTCCATAGTTTGATACAGATACACTTAGATAGGACTGAGATGCTTGGGGAATATATTGGTGTTACAACCTGTGATTACACCTACTTTGAGACAAGCACAGTTCTTTAAACAGTAAGTGTGAATTGATATGTTTTGAAATGTACCTGGTTGGAGAGAGAAATAAGCAGACCCAAAGTCGTTACCTGATTCTAATGATTAAAGCTGTTTTTCTCTCTGTGACTTCAGGAAGCTGAGCTGCTTCAGCAGTCATGTTAAGAGAAGCAACAAAAATTCTGGACTGCATAAAAATCTTGAGAAAATAAAACATATTTACCTGAGGATATATTTTACAAATTGTTACTTGTCATTCGGTGCTTGATTGAGGCACTAGCTTGAACCTCTGAGACATGGGTGAAAACCAGGTTTGGGACTCATTCTCATGCAGCACTTGGCTTCATAAATTAAGGTCTTGCAGACTGAAGTAAAATGTTAAGTGCATGAGTGCAAAGCTGAACTAACAGCTAATGGAGCAAAGTGCTGAGTTGGCTTTGACTCTGCCAAAGAAGAGCGATCTGCTGGTGTTGAATCACTTAACGTGAGTGCTCATGCAGAAAGACGGTTGAGGAAGGATGGTTATTTAGTGTGTAGTGGCATATGAGTAGTTATTGTGCACACTTTGAGTTATTGTGGACAGCTTTAATTATGTTTTCAAAAGCCAGGAAAACAGAGTCTCACAGCTAAGGGTGCTTACTAAAATACATGCATGTGCAGTTCAATGGTGGAACATTAGGTCTTCTAGTTAACCTAGATTAGTACTTGTTTGGTCAGATTTTTATAAAGCTCCGAAGTTGGACTGAAGAAGAGACACTTAGCAGTAGAAACCTAGAATTTCTACCTTGCAATCAAGTTTCTAAAGCACCCAAAGGTATTTCCATACGTACTATCATGCTGATGTTTAGAAGATAAAAAAAGCCTGGCATAATTTGTTGTTCTATCTAAACACTGCTGTTGACTGATCATTAAAACAAGAGTGTGTATCTCATTTAACCATGGGCTATTTTCAATCTGTTCCTGTGAGATTATTTTTTTCCATTTACCATCTGCTGCTTTTCTCTTTCTCAGGAAGCAACTGTGTCCAGCCCTAGTAGTAATATTGGGAAATCCAATCCATGACAAAACTATCACCTCTGCCCACAGCAGCATCTGTCTTGAGGCTGATTCACCTTCTTCAGGGCTCTCTGATCATGGCCGAGGTTCAGGCTGTTCATCCACAGCACCTGCCCTTAGTGGGCCTGTTGCACGGACCATATATTATATTGCAGCAGAACTAGTTCGACTGATGGGGTCAGTGGAATCAATGAAACCTGTGCTACAGTCTCTGTATCACCGGATTTTGCTTTACCCTCCACCTCAACATCGAGTAGAAGCCATCAAAATTATGAAAGAGGTAGGATAATCACGTGTGCAAATCCAGGCAGGTAAAGCAAAATGTTTATTTAGCAGTAAATGTTGCTGATATGTGTAAACCAATCCATTTCAAACGTTCCCACCTAGGGATGTTGCGATCGTCCTTTCTGAGCAGAACTGTTACATCAACACCACTCAGACAAATATCTTTAGTTTTATGAAGCCATAATAGCTCTATTTTTCTCCATAACACAAGTTACTGTGGCAACTCCATCAGTGCTTGTGCTGTGGTACTGCGTGGAGCAGATCCTATCACTGAGTCATGACTGCTCTTTTGGGTGAGATAGAGTATAATGAACCAGTTTCCAACTTCTTTGGCATCTTTCCCCACTCTCTGCTCTTGTTAGAAGGAAACATTTATCCTCACAGTGTAGTTTCCAGGCATTAAAGTGAATATATGTTTTGATTACTTGCCAGTTTTTTGAATTACAGTTTCTTTGAGCATTTTTTGAATAGCCACAAGGAAGCTGCTAATGGCTTAAGCAGCCATTTCAAGGCCAGTCCATTCTGACCTCTTGCCCAGTGCCTCTGAGAGCACTAGAGCTGGAGCACAGTGAGACTTGTTTGAGCACCAGCTGAAATCATGCACTCTTCCATTCCATATGGGAGCTTTCTTCTCATGTTGTGGAACACAAGGCAACTTATGTAATTTGTAGGAACAATGGTATCTCTTAGAGAGTTTTTCTTCTAGCTTATGCATACCTAGGCTGTTCTGTTTCTGAAGATCTCTCTTAACACCACACAGCCACCCACTTGGTTGTCTGAACTAGCAGTCATCCTTTCATTTGGTGTTCTCTCATTTTAAATAGTAGCAAGGTGATAATTGAAGTTTTAGGAAAAGCTTAGTCTAATGTTGTTTCCTGCAGGATGGATGTTGCCTCTTTGGGCTTATTAATACATGCTTGTTTGTAATGCTTTCTCCTTGTATTTCCTGGTGGGCATTAACAAGGACCTACCCAGCAGGTTGAGTCTGAAGGAGTCTTTGCATGACTCTATCATTTTGTAACTAGGTGACTGAAGAGAAAGGTTCTCTTTGGTATAAACTATAGTGCAAAATACTTACTTAGGCATAAAAATTCTCTTGTGTGCAATATCACTTGAAACATAGTCAAAAATGTAAAGAACTGGAGAGTATTCTGTATGTGATTCTTGCTGAATATTCTGCTCTTCTTTATTTGCTTTTCTGCTTTTAAAAACAGGAAGGGTAACTTTAATAAATACGACATCAATGTGCTGCTCTCCTTTTGCTGTGAGAAGATACAGTACTGCTGCCTCAGATTTTAAGGCTTGATAGAATTATGGCTTACTTATTGTATTTATATAATGCTTAGATAATCCTCTACTTACTTCTGTTTCCTTTCCTTTCAGATACTTGGCAGTCCTCGTCAGCTTTGTGATTTGGCAGGGCCCTGCTCTTCTGAGTCAGAATCCAAGAAGAGGTCTCTTTCTAAAAGGAAGTCCCATCTGGATCTTCTCAAGCTGTATGCTTTGTTTCCTCCTTTAGCCTCTTCTCTTTTAAACCTGTGCACACAGGGCACTTAAGCAGTTGTACTTTCAGGAGCATACCCAATAGTAACCAGGGTATCTCCCTGGTTAAATAAGCTGTGACAATGGAAAGGGGTAAAAGCTGGTTTGTCATCACTCTGGGCTTATTTGTAAAGGCATAGATAACTACCTTGTGGAGTTTGTAAAAATACCCAGATATGTTGTTTTACAGCTGGAAATTTGTGGCTATGGGTCCCTAAACTTGCAATGAAATAACTGTGTGTTTATTTAGAGGTACATTTCCAAGATGAAGTCAAAGGAGGTCATAGAAAATTTAAACATTGTCAGATTGAGCAAGAAGGGTAATCAGTTCTTGTAAAGATCACATCTTGTAGACAAAATCATTTTCAGGACACAGATGGCTTTAAATTTAGTTCATTTGGGTGCTGAGATTTTTTTTTATAGTTTAAGTGCTTGTCTGTAAGGGCGAACACGCTGTGCATGCTGGTATAAATGCAAGGTAACTATTTCCCTAATTGGCACTCCCTTTACCGAATGGCCATGTTTGCATGGGATATTTAATAATTTGTTCTAATACTGGTTGTCTTTCTCAGGAGTAGTCCTATAGGATTAGTTCACTTCTTTTTTTTCCTGGTTATGAAGGGATGGTGTTGAATGACAGGGATGTGCTCCTTATACATGTTGCATCATCTAAATGAACTCTGTATTGATTGCAGTATCATGGACGGGATGACGGAAGCATGCATCAAAGGTGGTATTGAAGCATGCTATGCCTCAGTATCCTGCGTCTTTGCCCTGCTTGGAGCATTAGATGAGCTGAGCCAGGGGAGGGGTCTTAGTGAAGAGCAGGTCCAGCTGCTACTCCAGCGCTTAGAAGAATTGAAGGATGGGACTGAGACAAGCAGGGACTCCATGGAGATCAATGATGCTGACTTCAGGTGGCAGAGGCGCATCCTGTCCTCGGAAAATCCTGCCTGGGAATCAGGAAATGAAAAGAGTCCTGATATTAGCATTAGTGTTACCACAGACACTGGTCAGACTACTTTGGAAGGGGATATGGGACAGACGACTCCAGAGGATAATCCAGAAAGTCAAAAAAACTCACTGCCATCTCCAGCTGGACATGAAAGCAAAGAGATTCATTATAGAGAACCAGAGTCAGAAACCACTGACCAGCCAGATGTTGTTCAAAGAAGCCACACCATAGTCTATCCAGATATAACTAATTTCTTATCAGTTGATTGCAAGACCCGGTCCTATGGATCCAGATACAGTGAAAGTAACTTCAGTGTAGATGACCAGGACCTTTCTAGGACTGAGTTTGATTCATGTGATCAGTATTCCATGGCAGCAGAAAAGGATTCAGGCAGGTCTGATGTCTCAGACATAGGCTCTGACAATTGCTCCCTGGCTGATGAGGAGCAGACACCACGGGATTGTCCAGGTCACAGGTCCTTACGTACTGCTGCTCTCTCTCTGAAATTGCTGAAAAGCCAAGAAGCGGACCAACACAGTGCACGGCTGTTTATCCAGTCACTTGAAGCTCTCCTTCCTCGGCTAATAGCTCTTCCCAGCATAGAAGAAGTGGATGGAGCACTGCAGAGCTTCTCTTCAACATTCTGCTCAGGTTTGCAAGCAAATGCTTACTGTCTAACCAGCATGCACACTCTGACAGCAGTGCACGCAGAGCCTCCTGTAGGATTTAATCTTCAGAGAACATATCCAGAATAAGGAGGTTTGGGCTTTACAAAGTACATTCCTTCACAGCAACACACTTCATTTAGGGCAAAGCAAATTGAGTATGCAGGTACTGATTCAAAGGGAGATCAATCCATTGACTCTTAACAGGCTTTCCATAAAGAAATGGAATTTTCTGTAATAAAATACCTCTTCACAGTTTTGTGATGATCTGTTGAGAAGATTTGCATGTGCTGTCATTAAAGAGGTTGGGGCAGCCCTTTAGCATGACAGGGATGTGGGGAGTACCATCCCCTGTTTTGAATGAGATTTAAGTAGCTCAGTACATCGCTGCATTACTATTAATAATGCCAACCTCACAAAAAAGGTGATAACAATTCTACAGCAGTAAGCTCTTAAAAGGATAGGAAAAGAGGAGAGACACTATTCTTCACTCTCTTGTTTTTCCTAATTTTGTTGTCTGGTATGACAGGAAATGCAAAACTCAAAGCCCAGACAAAGTGAAAAATTAAAATCTTGCCTTTTAAGAGATTAAATACCTTCAGTTCTTTCCTGTTTAGAACTTTTGGGATCTTGACTTGTCAAACAAACAGAAAGTCACATAAAGGCTAGTTTGTCCTGTTGATTTAAAGTGTGTGTGTGTGTGTGTGTATATGTATATATTTAGAAGCATTTCACTCTCCTGACAGTGACCAAAATGGATATGTTTGCTAAAATATATTTCTCTGTTTCTTTAACTTACTTTACCACAATTGCCTTTCCTATTGCTTCTCTCCTAATCATTGCTTCATTCATTTGTGATCCCTCACATTAAACTCATACAGAGTCAGAAGGGCTGCCTCCCATCATCATACAGCAAAATTTAGATATGAAGCTGGGCAAATAAGCTGATATTCCTGCTTAAATGCTGCTCAATTAAGCTCAGGAAGATGGCGGGTGGTATTCTTAAGAAACATTAGCCATTTTATATCATAGAAAGGAAGTACCTTAAAGGAGGCAATGATTTTGGTTACTTTCCTAATTGAGGCGATCAAGAATGCCCTTTCTGTCACGGGGATTTCTTTTACCTGAAGAAAAGTGATCTTGAGTTTATGCTAAAAGACCAGTGCTAGACCTCTAGCTCCCAGCTTTTGTGCACCTGTTCCCTCATGCATGAATGAGTATGCTGTTTCTTTCCTCTTCTTTCTGTTAAGTCTTTTTAGAGTGTTTTAAAGTATGGGAAGATGCAGACTTAGGAGACTTCCAGATTTTTAAGGCTAAACATAGAGTTTTTTGCTGGCATTAATGCCATTATGACTAATACACTGAGAAAGATGGAAGAACGTAAATCAATTTCTGTGTTAAATCCATAATTTGTGGTTTGTACATATCTCTTAAGAAGATACCTAGTCTTGGACTTAGACTGTTGAGAGAGACCTTTCGCTTTCCTAAGAAAGCCACCCTCATGGCTAAATCTGTACTTTAAAAACGTACACCATGTTTCCATGGGAAGTAGTCTTAGAAGATGCCACTTGTTAAGGCATCATGGAAAAGTAGAGCAGCAAGTTACTGTATTAAGACATCCTGGTGTTTTCGTGGAGATGTGACTGTTGCAGAGTTGTACTTTTGTGCTCTCATAAGATCTGTGGGGTTCATGTTTCAGTTGGATACCTGGAATGAGACTCAATCCAGCTGAAACAGTCCCTTGTACCTCAGATCTTAAGCAAATGTCCATCAGTCCTCCTGAGGCAAGAACTTGCGTTCCTGTGTATGTGAGAGAACTGTGAGTTTGAAGACCTGTTAGAGAGACTTACTAAAGTTGAAGCAAATGTCAGGGGGTAGGAACACCCCCTGGAGAGTTTCCAAGACGCCTATCTGACCTGCCTCTATAAGCAACGCTGAGGTCCTTATTTCAGGAGTCCTTTGTTACCACCAGCAATTCAAGGCACAAATTTTAGATGATGAAGTTAGAGGGACTCATCCTATTCATTGTATATACACCGCCTATTAATGTATAATTCTTGAAGAATACATTAGGAAATTTGAATATTTCTTAAAATTTGGGTTGAGAAAATGAGCAGGTGCAGTTCTGAGGCCAGCCAGTACAGAAGCAGTATTTTTGTGTTTCTGGGAGACCTTATTTAGCTGCTTTATTTCATTTCTCAATTTCTCTTACACTTTGGGGGAAAAATATGATTTAATAGTCTTTCATACAAACCAGGTCCTTAGATAGCACTGCAATATTAGTATGTTTTTATAGGTTTGAAAAGCAATGAATGAAGGTAGGAATTTGGGGCACTGCCATGGGACTATAAGCATTAAAAAAGTGAAGTCAGCTGAACAGAGTTATAGTGAAATTAAGATTTGCAAGTAAGCAAGTTAACTCCTAAATTAACACTTTATGAATAAGCACCTCTTTTCAGTTTTGATTCCATAGTTTTTAGAGGCAAGGTTTCTGTTGGTAAGCATCAGCTAATCTGCTTTTGAGATCACAGAATCTCTTAAATGCAGTTTATTTCCCCATATTTTAAAGGAAATTGAGGATCATATTTTTCCTAAGCACTTTTGGTGCTCAAATACATACCCACTACGTAGTATCCAATCTTCTGTGCTGTTCTACACCTTCCTTTTTAATTGTAGTCTTGTATTGTTGCACAAATTTTAAAATATTTTGATGCAAAGTAGAATGGGCTTTTTTGTGTTTTTTCTTTTTTTTTTCTTCTTTTACATACCTCTCTGCCTTGAGGTTTTCATTATTCTAGCAGATTCTAGTCTTAGAGATGAGACATCAGATCAATGAGAGATAAGATAGCCACATCAATATCATGATCCTCCATTCAACGAAGTGTTAAGATCCATCTTTGCCTTCAATGATGAAATCACTAGAGCTACTTACAGGCTACTTTCAAGCACGTGGTTGCAGTTTCAGTACTAGTTAAAGATTCTCGGTTACTGGTCATCATGAGAAATCTACCCCAAGCACATGCCAGCCTGTGGGGGTATGGTTTGTAGCCAGCCCTATCACCCCTCTTCCACAAAGGTTGCTCCCTTGAACAGCTATTCATCTTTTAGACCCACCCTGGAACAGTTACTCTCTTTCTAAATCCACCCTCAAACAGTTACTCACCTTATCCACGCCCCCAAAGTGACGACAGTGGAAAGTCCGAGAAGGCAGCAGCACAGAGCTTTCAAACCCTCACGAGGCAAGAAAAACATTTGCTTCTTTTCTGTGTGTGGATTTTTTTTTTTTAATGTTAACAGTTTGTTGTATTTTGTCTAATAAGAGGTGTGAGCTTTATGGTGGGAGGAATATATTCACAGTAAACCACTGTAGCAGTTAACAAGTGACACAGCTTTGCTTCATCACATAACTAACCTTGGAAGCTGTTTTTTGTTTCATTTCAAACATTCCTCTAGGATAAAGCTTACTCCTTGATTTTCTCTAATTGACATTATATGAATGGATTTCACAGTTGATGTGAAAACCATGAAATATTGTGAGTCATATGGGGGGGATCTAGTATTTCTTATTTTTTTCATGGCTCAAACTATAGATCATGGAGATTTAATTAGGTCATACTTGATCTATGTTTTTCTACCAGTAGGTCAGCTAACTCAGAGGAAAATGTATGTGCCATCCATGGGAAGAAGGGATTGTGCCACTGAGCATGGTTGTAGGCTGTCGTTTCATACCGGTAGTGTTTTCAGGACTACTGAGTACTTTCATGTGGCTTCTTGGTCTGACAGAACTGAACGTGCTCAGCTGTTTACAAAGTAGGTCTTGTATGAACTAAGTAAGGTTTGGAGTTGTAACAAGTTCCAGCCAGCTTGGCCCCAGGTATTTGTCCACTTAACTCTAGGCCATGGAAAGAATGATGATTACAGCCTGGTTGAAAGGTGCTGAGCACTCCAATCCCCATCCAGCAACTGATTTAGCCAGAACAGTTTTTCAGAGGGGTTAAAAGGGATTTTAACCTCATTAACACGATTTGGTAAAATATTCTTGGTGAAGTACACAGGCTTTTGTGTCTGCCCCTTCACACCTCATCTTTCCAGTTGGCACTGCAGACCTACCCTGCCCTTTGCTTTGTACTTGCTGCTGCTCTTTGAGTATTTCAAATTTAGCATGTTGCTTTGCTGGACTGTGACTGGAGTGTTCAGTTTGTCTTGTAGCACTGCATTCTAGATGAACTACTTATTTTTCTGTTCCCTGTTCTAGTCCATTTAGTAATTTTAACTGATGACTCATTAACTATTCTAGCAATCTGTTGCTGCCAAAATGCTAGGAATAGTTTCTGATATTTTTTTCCAGGAAAAATCTGTGTAAAATGTGAGAGCTCACATGGTGTTTTTGTTAGGTATGATGCACTCACCAGGATTTGAGGGAAACCTAAATTTCAACTTCCAGACTCTAATGAATGCAGACAGTCTCTACGTGGTATCACATTACACTCTGCTGCTCAACCTGAAATTGGCCAACTCAGATTACTACAGGAAGAAGCCTGCCCAAGCCCCTGTGTTGCTGGTGAGTTGGGGAATATGGGAAAACTCTTTAAAAAAAAAAAAAAATTATTTTGCTTCCCTTCACGTAAGCCAGCCCACACATAAAGCCTTCAGGCTGCTTGCTAAGTGGAGAAATAGTAATTGCAAATGAGGCTGTTCTCCAGACTGCTTATGAATCTTGCATGATAAATGTCGTGCATTTGAATTGCACAGCTTCTCTGTAATTTGGGGGGAATGAATGCTGCTTACTGATTGTCATTGAAGTCGTAGTCATTTTGATGGGTAAACTGTTTTCAGAATAGATCTTCCTTGGCATCATGTGATATGGCAAGTATTGTCTCTTGATAGTGGGCATAAACATACCTTCATCTTGCAACTACTTTTGAGCCCAATGACAAATTTGTTGCTAGATACTTGATTTGTATTTCCATAGTTGAAGACATGAGAAGTTAAAGTGGAAAATAACTGCATTTTAATAATGTGAAATTATGATTTTCATGACGCATGGAATTCCTCAGCTTCTTGGGCTTTTTAAAGAGTTTTGAAGCCTGCAAGAGTTATGAACAGTGAATCTGTGTTTTTCAACCAAGTTGCCAAAGAGAAGTTTTTTCAGAGTTTTCTTAAAAAAAAAAAAAATAAATTGTGGTATATGGAACAACAGCAACAAAAATTATGTCAAAATATATCATTGTTGCTGAGCTTCCAGTGTAAGAGAATTTATAATCGAGATCATGTTAAAAACAAGTGGAGTTTACATCATCCTTGGTTCTGGTATGTTCTGCAGCTGCTGCAAGTGCAAATTTGTGGCTCAGAACATTCTCTAGGGGCATCACTGTACACAATAGACCTCAACATGACCAAAGTATTTTTGGAGATCATTCTGATGTATAATTGGACAAAAGTTCATCTGTGATGACTGTTCATGCAGAAGGGACCAATTGCTGGACAGGCAGAGTTAGGTGCCACAACCTCTTTTTATTGGATTTGAGATTCTACTCCTACCTTGAGGAAATAGTGTGAGATCAGCATGTCCCATTGTCACTGTCCAAGGACTGTCATTATGATTTGCATTAACTGCGATAGGAGAAGGGAGAGCTCCTTGTTCGTGTCATTCTCCACTGTAGAGGCACATACAGGAGAATCTGGACAGGCTGGATCAATGAGCCAAGGCCAGTTGTGTGAGGTTCCAAAAGGCAAAGTGCCAGATCCTGCCCTTGGGTCACAACAACCCTGTGCAGCTCTACAGGCTCGGAGGAGAGTGGCTGGAAAGCTGCCTGGCAGAAAAGGACCTGGGGGTGCTGATCATGAGCCAGCAGTGTGCCCAGGTGGCCAAGAAGGCCAATAACGTCCTGACCTGTATCAGCAGTAGTGTGGCCAGCAGGACTAGGGCAGTGATTGTCCCCCTGTACTGACCACTGGTGAGGCTGCACCTTGAGTGTTGTGTTCAGTTTTGGGCCCCGCACTTCAGGAAAGACATTGAGGTGCTGGAACAGGTCCAGAGAAGGACAGTGGAGCTGGTAAAGGGTCCAGAGAGTAAGTCTTATGAGGAATGGCTAAGGGAGCTGTAGTTGTTTAGTCTGGGGAGAAGGAGGCTCAGGGGGACCTTATCATTTTCTGCAGCTACCTGAAAGGAGGTTGTAGTGGGGTAGGGATCAGTCTCTTCTCCCAGGTAACAAGTGACAGGATGAGAGGAAAAGACCTCAAGTTGTGGTGGGGAGGGTTAGACTAGATACTAGGAAATTTTTTTCATGGAAAGAGTTTTAAAGCATTGGAACAGACTGTCCAGGGAAGTGGTAAATTCACCATCCCTGGAAGTGTTCAGAAAGTGTGTGTGTATAGCACTTGAGGATATGGTTTAGTAGTGAACATGGTGGTGGTGCTGGATTGACAGTTTGACTTGATTATATTAAAGAAATTTTCCAGCCTTAACAATTATATTATTTCAATCCTCAGTTAATTCTGATCTTTGCATAACTTCATTTCTATTCCTGCAGCTTCTTACTCAGAGTAGATTTGGCAACTGAAGCTCATGTTGTAGGGCTTACTGTTGTCTTACATCTGGTTCCCTGCAGAAGGAGTTCATGAAGCAGGTCCAGTCCAGTGGAGTGTTGATGGTTTTTTCCCAGGCCTGGGTTGAAGAACTGTACCACCAGGTACTAGAAAGGAACATGCTGGGGGAAGCTGGATACTGGGGAAGCCCTGAGGAGCACAGTCTTCCACTTATCAGCATGCTGACTGGTCAGTATTATATTATAGTGGCAAGGCTAAGTTCAAAAAACATGACTAAAACTACATAATGCAGATACACTGCTTCATTGCATTACATACAAAACGTGGTGTTTCAGGAAATTGTCAGTAGAGAAGCAACCGGACTTAGCTGTGGCAAGTATTTAAATGTTTGGCTTGGATCATCAGAATGCTTTTGAAGTGTGGGTTTAAAAAAAATCAAACCTGTCTGCAGGACACAGGGAGAGTTTTTTTTGTTCATTGAATCAAAACACCTCTTATTTCTGTCAGCTTCAGTTCTGGTAGACTTAATGATAAGCAATAAGGCTGCTGTTTTCTTGATGTCATAGCAAAGCCACTTCAGTGTGCCTGTGGTGCAGTAGAAAAATAAATAGTGGCATCTGATACTGGAAGACTTCCACAGATGAGACTCCCCTTGGTTCAGATTTGTGCTATGCCAGGGATATGCCAAATGGCACTATAGAGTAACTGAAAACCTGGAGCACCTCTAACAAATGCTTAGAAACAATCCATAGCTTCATTTGAAGGAAAGAAACTAAATTGTTTTAGTTGAATGACAGCAAGATGGCTATGATATTGTATTGCTATAAAATACACTGTCTGCTTTAATGTGTATGTAATTAAAACAGTATATGTAGGGAGAACCCTGGCTTCAACCAAGCCATTAACTGGTAATCAAAGGGCACTGCTCTGAAAGTTTTTTGCTGAGTTTACTGAACTCAGTATTACCTTTAGCTATTGAGCTGAGAAGCTGAAAGAAACACTTTGGAAAAACAATAGCCATGAAGTGTGTGGAAAAGCGGCTGCTATAAATCAGCCTGGTGTCCCTAATATTAAACTCCCTGTGAAAAGCTAATCTTTTGTTGTGTTGGAGAAAGGGTTGTATTTCTGTTGTTGAGATTGGACCTACACAGATCTACTAAAAATTGCATATAAGACATAGGATTCCAGTGCATCTTGAGGACTCGAACTGAGGTCTGGGAACATCTAGATACAGGATTTAGCAAGATTTAAAATTTTATACTAAGAAATGCAGAGATTTAAGCATGTGATAGGTTCTCAACTGTAAGAAATACCAGTAAATCTTTGCTGGGAGTTCTGTTCACTGTGTAACTTGGGGAGCAGGGTGGTGGGGAGGCAGCTTTTGAGAGTGGGATATTTCCCCTCTTCAACAAAACACTGGTTATTATGGGCAAAACATAAAATGCCACTACTCATGTTGATGCCAAAGTTTCAGTAACCTGCCAGAAAGAGTAATTAAAAAGCCTGAGAAGTCAGGAGTGATAGCACCTACTTGAACAAAGAGCCAGTAAGAGATACTTTCCTTGTACCATCTGTGTGTCAAATAGTAATCTGATGTGTTTTTTAATGTTCTGGCAGACATTGATGGCTTGGGAAGCAGTGCAATTGGTGGCCAATTGATGTCATCTGCTTCAGCTCAATCTCCTCTTTCCCAAAACCGGAAGACAGATGATTCTGTTATTGCAGGTATTAAGACTGTACTGTAAGTGCAAGTGTGTCTACCAGCAGTGGATTGTTATATACCGAAAGTATATTTGGATAAATTGTGTAGAATAACAATTTAAGGGCTGAGGAAGGTATATCAGTACATTCTACATGAACTACTCGTTCAGCCTACAAAGGACAAATGTGACTTGGTTTTTTACCACTGATGATAAAGCTGCTCTATGTCTAGTTGTAGTAGTTACTACTACTACATTTTCCAGTAGTAGTAGTGATGTTTTTCCCACTCCAGGAGTTGCTTTTGCCCGATACCTTTTAATTGGCTGTTGGAAGAACTTGATTGACACTTTGTCCACCCCACTGACCGGCCGCATGGCAGGCAGCTCCAAGGGGCTGGCCTTCATCCTGGGAGCAGAAGGAGCCAAGGAGCAGAACCAAAAGGAGAAGGACTCCATCTGCGTGAGTCTGGATGGACTGAGGAGGGCAGCCCGGCTGAGCTGTGCTCTAGGTACTGTTGCATGTGGGATGTCCTGACAGACTCATAAAATAGGATGGTAACTTTCCTTGAAGGAATTTGGGAGAAAAAAATGCAGCCTGCTGTTCCAGTTTTGGATAGGAACATAGATTGTGGCAATTCACATAGAGTGCATCTGCCCTACAATGTAGATATAGCCAGCCAACTTTCCTTGACACTGTCTCTTGCTGAGTTTGCATGGGACTGGGGAGGAAATGCTGGTCAACCAGTAACTGTGCTGTTGCTTTACAGGAGTTGCTGCTAACTGTGCATCTGCTCTTGCCCAAATGGCTGCTGCTTCCTGTGTCCAAGAAGAGAAAGAGGAAAAAGAAATCCAAGAACCCAGTGATACTATAGCTCAAGGTAACTGTGTGATTAAATTACCTAACTAATATTACCTGCAGAAGTGCAACTGGAAAGCACTTTGCCACACATAGTGGCATTCCCCTCTGTCATTCTTCTGCTGAACACCATTCACTTGCAGGCATATGGGATGTCTTCAGTACATGTTCTGCTGTCCTAGGTTCTTAACATTATGTTGCACTAATTATATTTAAAATGGAACTGAAATCAGTGGAACAACAGAAAAGCCAAAACATTTTTTAGTGTGTGCTTTTCAAGCCTTGTGATACTAGTACAACTAAAGGGCATCAAAAAAACAAACTATTTGGGGTTTTTTATGTGTTGGGTGGTAATATAAGCTGAGTTTGTGTCCTTCTCCCTGTCCTGTGTATGCATCCTTGATTGTCTTTCATCAGATCATCAGATGTTTAAAACTGTTTCTGAATCATGTTAAATGAAAATGGAATAAAAAATGGTATCTTTATAACATTTAGAAAGTTCTGCATCTCTGTACCACCACTCAAACTTCCACCATCAGTGGAAGTCAATAAAGTCAGTTGTTGTCTCCAGTGACTGTTTGGAGAAGTACATAAGATTTGTCTGATTATACCTGATTTATAATGGCAAGAAACCCATAACAAAACACAGTGTTGCACGAATGACCCTACTTAGCACTTAAATTTGGTGTCTTAGTAGAGAAAACAGAGCTGAAAAAAACTGAACTAAAACAGGCTTTCGATCGCTCTGCTAGGTATGACTGCAGTGTGTTGGCCAGGCCATGCTGAAGCAAAGAGGAGGCAGTAGGCCAGAGGCCCAACAGATCTGTTCTGTGTAAGCTTGCAAAGCTTCAAAATTTGATCCAATGCAGCATGAAAATTAAGCTTTTCAAGGATTCTCAGGAAAAAATGGGTCCAAATGCTTGTAATTCAGATCAAGATTAGTTTTGCTTTGAAAAGCGTATCCATTAACAAAAACTCTTTGGTGAAACTTATGTATGAGAGTAGATAAGAAATCCACAAATGCTTTTTTTTCCATAGCAAAGAAGATTTTGTTAAAAATAGGTAAATAGCCAGCCAACTGTCTCTGAAGAGAAATATGTAATGTCACTGGCAATCTGTTACTGTTCTGTGGGCAACAAGATGTGAATCTAGCATTGATTTTTCTTCTTCTATATAGGATCAGTCAGAAGGGATTTTTATTTTAAAACTACCTTAAGTTTATTAGGAAGAAATGGGTTTCTCTGGTTTGTTTTTTGTCTAAATTCATGGATTTTATAGCTTTCAGTGTGTAATACTTTGCCATCACCCTGTATACGCACCAGTGTTTGCTTAAAAGCTGGAGAAACTTATTTTTTTTTCCCATGCTGCAGTGAAACAGAAAGTGGAGCAGAAACTGGAGCAGATGGGGAAAATGCAGGGAGTCTGCCTGCACACTGCTCATGTTTTGTGTATGGATGCAGTCCTTAATGTGGGTCTGGAGATGGGAAGCCACAATCAAGACTGTTGGCCTCATGTGTTCAGGTACTTACTAGCTTTCAAAAAATAATCAGAATTTATACTACGTTGCCTGAAAGTAACGGACTGAGAAAAAGGGCTTGATAGACTCTGTGGGCGTTCTATATAAACAGTGTTTGAATTAACTGCCAACATCTGTAAAAGACAAGATGGTGCAGTTTTCCACCACTATTCAGAGACAAAAATCATTACTTAGAAACTTCAAAGCTACCAGAAGACTGTACCAGACCCAGGAATCTAAATGGGCTTTTGCGGCACCTCCACCAATCTATATGCTATCTAGGCACATGGGAGGTCAAAGGTTGTAAGAAGAAAGGTTATCCATGTGTGGTCTGAGAGTTAAAGATTGTCTATTCATGGTTTGAGGAAAATGTTCTGTGCATTGTATGTGATTCAGATGTAGAAATCGGTGCCTGCGAATTGGCAGCAGGTTTCCATGTCAGTTGGCTTCTCCCACTTATGGGGCTGTGTGGTAGACAAGAGTACTCTGGAGTACAGACCCAAGCATTTCTTCAGTGAGCCTGTGATTAGTGGGAGGAGGAGTTGATGTTTTGGGGTGTTTATTCGTCTCTCACTTCTCCTTTTTGTTCTCAGGGTATGCGAATACATCAGCACTCTGGAGCACACCCACTTCAGTGATGGTGCTTCCCAGCCCTCCCTTACCATCACCCAGTCACAGCAGGCACCTGGAGGGCTACACCTGGACTCTGAACCTGGTGACTCTCCTCAGGCACTCACCCCCGAGCCAGAGAGCACCCTGAGCAGCCATCCTGTCATTCAGCCAGTTTCTATCCAGGATCTCATCAAGGACAACAGTAAGGGCAGAGCTTTTGAATTCCGTGGAGGCAGTCTGCTATGTGGGACCAGTGCTGCCAAGGCTGTTCTCACGCTCTCCACACAAGCTGACAGGTAAAAACAGTGCTGTCAGGAACCAGAATCGTTGTTCCCAAAACAGTACCAAAATGACCTTTTTTCTGCTGCAGTTGGTCTAATCTTTGTTCATTGCAGCCACTTGCTTCAGCTGAATTTCACAAGAGGACTGCATGTTTGTCACAACCAGCAGTTTCTAAAAGACTGTTTTTTTTTTCATCTCTGCAGTACCTGCCCTGCAATTACTGAGCTGAGTATGTCTGTGCACAGCAGTGAATATGCCACATAAATCAAATGCATCCTGAGAGTGATGGATTTATTTCTTGCATGTGAATGAATCTATTGTATTCAGTAAAGCAAACAAAATAAGTGGGTGTCTTATCCTGACAAGAAAGGACTAAGTGATAAGACTGTGTCAGTTAGAAAGCAGCTGCTTCTGTCAGGACTGTGTGGACAGTTTTTCAGGTATCCCCAGTGTGTCCAGAGGAGAAAGAACCACCAAGCATGGTCACAGAGTGTCTAGGTTAAGTGTCCCTTCATCATGGTCTGCTAACTGATATGTGTCACAAACTTTTATGTTATTTCTGCTATTTTTTAAGCAGCCCAGGCTAGAGTTGAAAATTTGCTGGGTTTGCATGCTTGTAATTATCATCTTTTTTTCTCCAGATGACATTTTACATCTTGATCTCTGCCCATAGGAAGCTGTTATTTGTAAATTCAGATCCAAAAGTAATGCATGAACTGCTTGTAGAAGTTTGACTCTGGGCATGGAAAGTATCTTTTATTTAGGAAGCTCACAATACAACTTGGTTCTGAAGAGCAGAGAATAGCAGTACTTAATGAGGCAGGTTTGATATCTACGCTTTTACTTCAGTGTGCACATTTATTAGGACTCAATCTCCAGTTTCCTAGGACAATAGAAAGTTTTTCATGAAAAGCAATGTCAGAAGATCGTATTTTTGTCAATTTCTGGCTGCACCATATGAAATTTCACTGTAGTCTCTGTGGAACCCACTTCCTATGTAAGCATGTTTGATTTTTAAGTGTCCAGATTTTAACTGGTAAATCTGAAGGGCTCACTGCAGCTGAAAATAAGGACTCTGGCTTATATTTGTTGTAGTTTAATGAAAACATAGCTCTGTACTAGGCATGGTGAGAAAATTAACTCTACCCCAGCCAAAACCAGTACAATGTTCCAAAATAGCAATTCAGGTACAATAACTTTAGATCTAAGACTTGAATTCATTTGTTTTTCATGTAAGGCTCTGTGACTTCAGATGGAGCAAACTGGTGTTTGTCAGTGAAGCTATGATGATCTATGTTGTGAGGATTGGGAATGTTCTAACGGTTTGGTTTTTTCATTAGTGGTCCATGAGCTGCTTTGAAAAAGTGACTTTTTGTTGTAGTGCCATAGTTGGATCTCAAAAGATTCTGGTTGGTCCCACAGCAGTCCTTCAATTAATAAGGCTTCTGGATTGAAGTCTTTCTGTAGTACTATATAAAAGAAAAAACCCTCAATAACCCAATGTGTCATCAAAGGCCACACATAGCAGCCATAACAGATAAGAGTTTTCTTCTTACATACACATTGAAGTCTGCATCTCATTAATTTTTCAGTTGGACTCTGTTCTTTACTTATAGGCTCTTTGAAGATGCTGCTGACAAGTTAAACTTGACGGCACTGGCAGGCTTCCTTTACCAGCTCAAGAAGGCTTCTCAGGCTCAGCTTTTCCATTCAGTCACAGATACAGTTGATTACTCACTAGCAATGCCAGGTAAGTCACCTGAAGATCCCTTACAAAGTGTTTCATATACAACTGTACTGCTTACAGGACTTACTATGTGTCCTTACAGTTTTGATTTTTTCCAATTGAAATTTCAAGGTATAAATAAAACACAGAATTTAGTCTAACAAGATCTCTCTGTAGGAACAATTCTAAGTCTTTAGAAAAGGCTTAGCATTTTTTTGAGGCAGGGACCACATCTACATCTGCTTTGAAGCACTTCAGAGAGCATTCATTTAATTCTTGGACTTTGGGGGTTTTAATTATCCACAGATACTTAATCACAACTTCACTTTGGAGCCTAGTCCAGTATGGAAACTTGAGCGAATGTGGACCTAAGACAGTGGATTTAGGTTAGATGCTTGACAGTGGGATAACTTCAGAAGTGTTCAGAAAATGGGTAATAGGTGAACAAAGCACACAAATGAAGAGTGTTAAATAAAGCAGTGGGATTTGTCCTGCTTGCTCTTCCCCAACAGAGTGGATGGGGCATGTACCTTATGGTACAAATGGTTGTTTTCATCACTGTCTCAAATAGATCAGAAGGATTGAGCACAAAGGAAGATCTTTCACTTAAATTTATACTGTGCCTGTAGAAGCTAAATTACTCATACAGGTTTTGTTCTGCCCTGTAGCAGACATGGATTTTATCTGATATATGTCTCCAGTTTAATCGGTTTCCCCTTTCCCTGAAGTGCTGTTTGTCATTTGCCGATATGACACTTCAAGTTGATTGGTTTTTTGCTCTTGCTTTGTCTCCAGACCTCAACATTCATAACTAGTTTTAATAGCTATCCTCTTGTCATGTATGTAGTAGTCAATCAACAGTAGTAAGCAATAATGAAATTAAAATCGGGATAGAGCAATTAAGTGCAATTTTTTATTTTAAAAGTGGTATGTCCCCTGATTATATATCTCATCAGAGATAAAAGCACCAGTATATGTTTAATGAGGAAATGAAATGTCTTTCCAAATTTTATAAGAACAATGGAAGATGAATCCCTTTCAACAGCAAATAACAAGTGACTGGGGAACAGAAAAGCATTTTCTCACATTCTGTTCTTTGTATCCTTTGCTTGATAAGGAATACAAAATTAAGTACCCAAACTAAATAATTTGCATTTTATATTCTTTCCTGTAGATGTCACCAAAGGCTTTTGTAACTACCATTTTGAGTCTTACTATCAATTATTTAACTACTTGCTTAACTTTTCTGCAGTTTTTCTCTAGGACTTTGTCTTTAATACGTTTGCAAAAAACAGGAGTGATCACTTAAATCAAAATAAATTATGTTTAATAAGTTGTTCTTAAAACATGGATCCATCTCTTGTTCTTTTACTTACACAGGTATAGGCTGCGTTTTTCTTTGGGTTTTTTTTTGGGTTTTTTTTTTTTTTTCCTTTTTCTCATCCCTCCTTAAACCCCTCCTGACTTAAGAAATAATTTTCAACCTGATTTCAATTCCAATTTAGACATTTACCGATGGAGGAACAGCTGATGCTTAGCTTCCATTTATTTTCTTATACTTTCTTGTAGGGGAAGTAAAATCTACCCAGGACAGGAGAAGTGCACTTCACTTGTTCCGACTTGGTGATGCCATGCTCAGAATTGTAAGGAGTAAATCTCGCCCGTTGCTCCACCTCATGCGCTGCTGGAGCCTGGTGGCACCTCACCTTGTAGAGGTAGGAATGGGGAACAAAAATGTGAATGTGTGGAAGAGATGATAGAGGTGAAAAAGATGGAGAAGGCTTGGCAGCTCTTAAAATGTATAACAACCCTCAACGTTTTCAAATCTGCTAGGTGTTGTATAAACTGTGTCATATACTGCAATACTGCCACAAAGGACTGTGCTTTTAAGTAACTGAAATGGGCAGGACCAGGGACAGGGTGTTGGATTTTTTCAATATGATGAAAAATGTGTCTGGTGAAAAAACTGAAACCACACCAGGAGGCTATAAGTAACTCCTCCATCAAGTCTTCCCCTAAAAGCATGCAGGTTTCTTTTCCTGCATAAAACCAGCTCAGCTGGAAGGATTATGACATTTTTCCCTTTCCTTCTGCTTCCTGGTGAACACTGCTCAGTGGCATGCCAGTAGCAGACACAAAATGGATTTCAGTCATAACAAATGACATTTCCTCAGTCGAATTTTCAGTCTTTTTTGATGAGATACTGGTGTCTTGGCTTCTTAGAGCTTTTGGATTTGTATCATTGGTATGAATAAATGTGCAGTACTTTTTTTCTGTTGATGAGGTGTGTAGTGTCATTTGTCCAGGTCTGGTGGAAGCATGCTTATCTGAAGTCTAAAGATGAGCTGTTTAGTAAATTACCATAGCACTTTCTTTCATTGACTTGTGAAATATGTGGACCATCTCACAGCAGAGATCACACATCAGGAAGTCTCAATGGAATCCCTAAAGTGAAGTAAAAATAACAAAGAATGGTTTTGTTGTATGCTTTACAGCCCTTTATCTTGAAAACCAGCATTCTCCTTGCCTTTGTATAACACCTTGAGATATCTTTAAATACTTTGCATGTTTTGAACACTTTAGGGTCTTTTAAGATCCCGCACCAGTTTTAAATTCAAGTACCGTCTATGTTTTCAGATGCAGGAGTGATCAGACTTTTGGGTTGACTTCAGTGAAGATGAGGGCATTATCAGTAAAAAATAACATCACAGAAAGGATAACCTACATAGTTGCTTAAAATGGTAACTTTATATTCAGATTCACTGTTCTTTAATTTTATAACAGTTCTTCCAAAAGTGTCAAGAACCTTGAAGTTCCATAAATAGCCAAGTAAGTGGCACTTGTTCATGCCTACATAGGTATGGTGGATATTTGCAGAAACTCCCTTTTTGAAGGCAAAAATGGTCACCCAGTAGAAACAAAAGACAGTGTTCCACATGAGTTCTGTTCTGTGGGGTTTAGTGTTTAATTTATTTATTTTTAACTCTGTACTTTTGGAATTGTTTACAAACCTTCATGCATCTGTGGAACTCCCAGCAACTCAGAGTCTCAGTCATCTGTTTCCGTGGCAGTACTCCCTCATTTTCAGTGTAGTGGGATCCCTAGTAACATCAGTGGTGAAGCCACTTTTAGGGTTCAGCAACATGAAGTGCTTACCTCCCTTGAAAGTGTCTCACTAAAACCAAATGTTTTCTCTTGCACATACTCTAATACTTCTTCTTTCCCTGCAGGCTGCCTGTCATAAGGAGAGGCATGTGTCTCGGAAGGCTGTCTCCTTCATCCATGACATCCTGACTGAAGTGCTGATGGACTGGAATGAGCCTTCTCACTTTCACTTTAACGAGGCGCTTTTCCGCCCCTTTGAGCGCATCATGCAGCTAGAGCTGTGTGATGAGGATGTCCAAGACCAGGCAAGTCAGTTCTGATCGGGGTGTCTGTATTTGGCCTACCATGCCCGTAAGAAGAGTGGTTTCCAGAGTGCACTTGGTCCACCTGAATGTTTCTCAAATTCCCTTCAAATGCTGTCCCTTAATGATCTTCAAGGAATTGAGAGTGCTCTGCCTACCTAAGCCAGCATTGTGGTACAGCACAGAGACAGTACACCTGGCTTTAAAGCAATTAAATAAAGCTTTTCTATTATCTAAAGAAGTTTAAATAATAAATTAGTCTAGACTTAGTGAAATCTAGGAATCTGTTTGAAGACATTGTCATTCCTTCTGAAGATCCATCTATATATCAGTTCTGGTTTTTGATTTTGTTCTTTTAACCCCTCTTACACTGTCTGCAGGTGGTCACCTCTATAGGAGAGTTGGTGGAAATGTGTTCTACCCAGATCCAGTCAGGATGGAGACCCCTATTCAGTGCCCTGGAAACAGTGCACAGCAGCAGCAAGTCAGAGGTTAAAGAGTACCTTGTAGGAGAATACTCTATGGGTAAGGACTTACTGCAATGACTGTTCCATATGTATTTTAGATTCCCTGGGGGACACAGTAACTAAATATATTTAAATGCCCTAACTGAACAGTGGCACTGCAATACTCCAGAACTGAACTCAAGTATCTGACTTCTTAGTTGAAAGGGGAAGGGAAAGCAGAGGTATTGTTCTGACTTTTTGGCCTCCAGATTCTGACAGATGAGTAGAATGAGAAAGAAATGCTTCAAACCTACATGAATAATTTCGAGCAACACAGTAGTGGAGGCTGAGCTTGACTGAGCCCTGGTCACTGTCCTGCTCAAGAAAGGGAAGCAGACTGTATACAACCAGCATGTCTCATGTGGACTGTCTTCCTTATTGTGTGAAACCTAGTGCTCTTAAATATCATGGTAACTTAGTGTGATAATCTAGACAAGTGCTTGTCCAGGTAGTTTGATCACAAGATTTTCAGATTGCTAGTGCTGCAAGAATGTGCACCCCTCTCAGAGATGTTTGCTTGTATGGAAATGGAGTAATAGGGGAAAATAATTTCATTCTGTTCTTTTGCCCCATTCAAAGGTATTTTAAATGTTACAAGTCATGTGTAAGGGATATGGGTTTCTTCCTAAACTTTGTCTTTGAGATCTGTTATAACTGATGGCTAAATGCAGGTGTACACAGCTTTTGAAGATTGATAATCTACTTGGGAAAAACAAGGCTATTTTGTTACTGTGTGGTCTGAATAGTTTTCTGTGTGATTGATGTCCTCTTGGCAGTTATCAAAAACTGAACTAGAAAATAAACATAAACCTCCACCAAACAGAAGTATTAGCTACTGAACTGAGTTCAAGAGCTCAAACCTGCTCTTACCATTTGGACAGGCATACACTAGTATTTGTCATAGATTAGGCAAAGGAGGGATTCTGTATCTCTTTCTACGAAAGGCTACATGAGTTGCCTCAGGAGCAAGAGAAGGTTTTACTTTTAAGATGATTTCTGTCTCTGCTCAGAATAGAAAAGATTCTACAGATTCAATTTAATTTTTGAAAAATGGTTGGAAAATCATTTTTGTGGCAACTGGGGAAGAGTTCTCATATTTTTATTTCCACAGGGAAACGCCAGGCTCCGGTGTTTGATGTCTTCGAAGCATTTCTAAACACAGACAGCATCCAGGTCTTTGCCAATGCTGCCACCAGTTATATTATGTGCCTTATGAAGTTTGTCAAAGGACTGGGTAAATATTTTCCTTTCCTATTAAGTCAGGGTATTTCAAACTTGATCCTGAAGAAGAGGATAATTCAGTTGTGTAATACATAGTATGGTAGAAGAGAGAGAGAAAATGAAGAACATGAGTCCACAATGCTTAAAAAAAATAAAATCGAGACTGAGGGATTATTTGACAAACATTTTTAATACTCTCAGTTCTTCAAGTTTTTATAGCAGCAAAAATGCATCTCACTATTAAGTATCTGCTTCATCTGATCTTAATTTGCAGCAGAACTTGCTTACATTAATTTAAATAATAAAAGGTGAAGCAAACCCACCACCTAGAATATTGCAGAAATGGCCTGGCGTTGTGCAGAGACACCAGGGAGTGTCTGCCACAGAATAGGGTATGTTTTATGTTCAGAGGTCAAAGGCACGTCTCCTTTATATCCTTGCCCACCTCAGCAGCAGTAGTTTGGCATATGCACTGCTGAAAACCTGCCGAACCTTCTGTGAGGTCCTGAGCATTGCAACTGACACCACTGTCCCTGTGCTTTGTGTTGTGTTACTGAGGGCAGCAGAGACCAAGAACATCATGCTAAGGTGACCCTGCAGAGTAATTGTGGTGCTTCGCCAAAATTCAGAACAAAGAGAAATGCAGGGTCATTCTGATCGCCCATGCTTGCCCTGATCATTAGAATTCGACACTTTTCATTGAACTGTGACAATGATGGGGTATTTTGGTTATCTAAATTACAGAACTTTTAATGAGTGGTAAAATTAGACCTTTGGTTTCTATATGTATATTGATTCACAGAGGTTTCTGTCTGTAAATAACTCCCTTTGATCTAAACGAAGCACCTAACTGCAGCAAATCTAGTCTTTACTCTTATCTTACTAAGCTATTTCACCATTGATTTAAATGGAGGCAGAATTCAACTTGTGATAACAGACCATAATTACTACAAAAGAGAAATAAACTTGCATGTCCAATACCAATAGAGGGAACTCATGTTTCTTCTGGAGACTTCAAAAACCTGTCTTTATGTTTCTTTAGGTTTCTTAGTTACATGAGATAATTTTGACCCCTTTGTGGTCACATGTCAAAAAGCAAGATGTTTTTTTTAATTAAAGGTGTAGGACTATGGGATACTTCAGCAAATACCATACTATGTGTGCATTTTATTGTAGAACTAAAGGTTTCAAACTTCACTGGCTGACTTGGCTGATCTCAATAGTGGACAAAACTTTAAAATACGTTATGGAGGGAATCATTAAGGGCATAGAAGAAACAAATAAATATAGTGAAAGGAGAATAAAGTAGGACTTAATAAAAGGATTTAATATTTATCTTGTGGTTTTTCTGAGAGGAATAGCTCTTAAGACAACAGAATGTTTATGTGTATAGGCATTTAGTAAAGTTTCAAATTTGGCACTGAATTGAAAGTAGTTGGATAAAATGGAAAAATGGTTGTAAGCCAAGTATTCTAAGGTGGACAGAACACTGGCTGACAGGGGAGGAAAACAGACTGTGCAGACAGGAAAATGGTGGAATGAATGGAGTTATCCAGAGAGGAGCTCTGCAGCAGGATGCCTTGGAACTGCTCTGCTTATTGAATTCACTTAATGAAGCTGACCTGAAAGAGAGAGTCTGCTGATGTCATAGAGCTGGTAATACTAGCAGTTTTTAGCCTGAGGATATATATCATACAGTTGAAACTGTGAGACCTTGACACCTGAATTAGACAGCAGAAGGAAATATAGTAGCACAAAATATAAAACGATGTATTTAAGCACTAAATAAACTAAAAGGAAGAACTTGTGCTATAAAAACTTTCCAGGGCACTGAGGTACAAATGAATAGGAAAAAAATGAGTATAGTAATTGAGCAAAGAATAAGAATATATGAGCAAGTAATTACAATACCCTTGGAATAAAGTGAAGTGGATCGATATACCAGATAATATAATATATGATTATAAGAACTCCCAAACACTTTACTGAAGAGTCGTTAAATAGGCATATCTGTATCAAAACATTTATTCATATACAAGTTTGTGGGCCAGCAGTGACCAGTATTACTGTATTGTTTGTGTGGGGGTCATCTGGTTGTCATCTAAGATGATCAAACAAAGAATGTTTTCTGGCTTCTGTTCAGGTATTAAGGCATAAGTGAATGAAAAAGGAAAAAGAATTCTATGTTTGTTTATATTCTTCTGTTCTTCCCAATGCTGCCTTTTCTGTCCCCAGGGGAAGTAGACTGTAAGGAGATGGGTGACTGTGTGCCAGGATCAGGATCTGCATCTACAGACTTGTGCCTTCCTGCGCTTGATTACCTCAGGAGATGTTCTCAGGTATGATGAACAATCTCATACAGGCACTAATCTGGTGAAGGAAACAGTTCTAGCCTACAGGCTCTGCATCAGTCATGAGATGGTTTGCATGAACCCAGCAAAGTCTGTGGTGACCCTGATGGTAATAACTTGCACTGCCAAATGGTCAGTCACTATATCTGAAGGAATATCATATCTTGTAGGCCAATTAATGGTGGGAAAACTGATGAAATAAAAACACCCAGGGAACCTGTGGGAAAATGTGAACAATCAAAACCTAGTAGTAACATATACAAAGCTAAATTCATTCTTATTTAAACAGTAACTGTAAACAATGTTAGGAATGAAAGACAAAAAACCCCAACCAAATCAAAACAACAACAACAACAAAAACAAACAAAAGACCAAAAACCACAAAACAAACAAACCAACCAACCCCCCCCCCCCCCCCCCCCCCCCCCCAAAAAAAAAGGGGCAAAAAAACAACTTGAGAATGCCCAGATCTTAAGAGCAACGGGTTACACCCTCTGAAACACAGAAGCAGCTTATTCGTACCATGAAAACTTATCTGAAGCTTGGGGCAAATCTGGAACAATTGGAATGCTGGGGTGTTTCCTCTAATCTTCTGGCCTCTAATTGTGTTTTCGTAGCTTTTATTTTATTTTACGTACTTGTGCTGTATGTGATAGCTTCTACAAACTTTCATATATATGCTTATCTTCTCTTTTTTTTCTCTATCTCCTCTCCACTACCCTCCCCAAGTTGTTAGCCAAAATCTATAAAATGCCCTTGAAACCCATCTTCCTCAGTGGTCGGCTGGTTAACTTGCCCCGAAGAGCGCAGGAACAGTCAGCCAGCAGTGAGGATGGTATTGAATGCATCCTTTCTGACTTTGATGATGACACCGGTAAGTGCACTGATAGCAGTAAGTGCAGAATTAATCAATTGCTTCTTCCACAGGTTGCTGTAAATTTTGCCAGCTGCTGAAAGCAAAAACTTCATAATTTGTCTCCCTGTTGTCTACACATACACATGTGCACACACAGAGTGTGGAAGTTCAGATCACATCGCCTTCTTTATGTAAAGATACAGTTCATATATAAGAAAAATACAACCTGTCTGCTAGGGCAAGACAACAATATTTTAATGAACAATTATTTTGATTATCCTGATATTCATAATACAACCAGTGTATATTTCTGAGACATAACAGAAAAAAACTTTCTAGACCACAGCTGAAGTAAAGGACTGAAAACCTTTTAAGGTTGGTATTGGCAGGCCTGCCTTAACAGAAAAAAATATCAGTATTTAGTTACAATCTAGAAAGGTAGGGAATAATTGTTTAAATGTTTTCAAACTTGTGTCCTGTGGTCTGTTGAAATAAACAGTGAATTTCTGAAGTCCATATAAAGCTACATGACCTCCAGAAAAAACAAGCAGCATTTGTCTCCTGATTATTTGTGTGGTTTATATAGGTTGTGGATTAATCAGGTGTTTGATGAAATAGATCTGTGCAGAGCCAAGTGGTAGGGGAACGCAGCCTTACAGCTTCTGAACTCAGGAGGCCTTCACAGCAGTACAGTCACTTTTGAATATCTGAACTACTGAGCTGTTCCAAATAGGCTGCTTCTGCGAAGAATCAGCTCCAACCTGTCAGAAAGCAGGCTGACTCCAATGCATTTCATTCATATGCCTCACCAGGCTGGCCCTTGGTACCTACTTTTATCTAGACTCTTCCATCACATGGATTGTCCTGTTCCACTGCTACCCTGGATAAAGGAGAGAAGAGCTGCTCTCTGAAAACAGAAAATCACAAGTCCTATTTTTTCACAAAACAACCTTTTACTTTCTTCTTTCTATGTTTGTGTTTGGTTTCAGTTTGGTTTTTCTAAGTCATTGAAGCCTCTGTTTGAGTCAGTCTTGGGACTTGACCTAGGGTCTCCCCACCTCAGGTGAACACACTTTGCCTACTGTTCTGGAGTGGTTCTGCCTATCAGTGTCTTTCTGTGATTAGAAGTGCCATCCTACAGCAAAGAAACCTTCTGATTTGATTTTTGTCACAGTTAAGCACTAAAACTGTCACCCAATTTGTTATTTAGATGGTAATGGTGTTAGAACATTGCTAGGTGAACTGACTTTACAAAGACAGGAGGCAGTGTTTCATCTGGTGCTCTAGAGTTCAAAGTCGCTACCAGGATGGGGCAAAATGTCTTAGCCTACTTTGCCATATTTGCAGTGTATTTTCATAGTGTATTTGATACCAGCAAGTGTCATGCACACACAGACTACATCAGCATAGCTACCAGTGGCAGAGAACATGAGCTTATTGGTGAATCAAAGTAAAATCCGTTTTAGCCTAATAAACTCCTAGCCTTCTTGACTTAACTCAAGAATAACACTATATAATGACAGGAGTGTAATATGCAAGATCCTTCTAGTCATTCATGATATCACTTTAAATACAAAGTATTTAAAGTGATCTGTGAAAAATTAAAGGGCAGCAGTTCCTAATCATCTTCAAAATTGTATTGAAAAATAGTTGTATCCCATAATCTTTTAGGGGATACGTTTGCCAACTCACCTGTATCCTAATTGCTGTTCTGGCAATTGTCCAGCTCTGTGACCTCTTAAGATTGAAAGATAGTGTGAGGCAGTGTGATGATACCTTATGAGACATTTTACTGTTCAGTTTTGGTCACCAGTTAAATTATGGCTAGCTACCTCAGGAGCCTTACTTAAAAGCTTAACCTAAATGAGTTCAATCTCTTCTGGGCAGGATTTGAAATGATAATGAGGTAGGGTTTTACTTATATACTTTATGTGGGACATTTTACGCAAGATTAAAGAGACTGGATTAGAGGGAGAAGTAAACTAAGACCAGAATAAGGTGTATGTGGAGGAGGATGGCACAAAACACAGACTTAGTAAAAAGGGTGGGAAAAGGAGACTATCGTTTCAAAAATGGGTATTGCCCACAGCCACTACACAGCAAGAGTAAACATGCAAGAACCCATGATCTTTATGTTAATTAATTTATTCGTTTCCATCACTTTGAGGGCAAGTTTCACCTGTAGTCAATGCAGTATCTCACTCATGGTTTTTAATCTTCCTTTCTTTACTTGTAGGCCTTATCAATGTCTGGATTATTCTGCTGGAAGAATTAACAACTGCCATATCCAACTGTCCCCGTCAACACCAGCCTCCTACTTTGGATCTGCTCTTTGAACTGCTGAGGGACGTTGCCAAAACACCCGGTAATGAAAGGGATTGACAAAACATGAGCTAGTGGAGTCCTGACCCAAACCTTTTAGAATTCTAAACCACTTCTGTAAAGTGTACTACTCATGCTAAAGCTGCACAGAGACATTCTCTTGTAGAAAGGGATTTTCTTGGAATGGATTTGTTGTTCCAGTTAGTGCATTTTTCTGTTGACAAAAGTTGTCTTGTAAGAATATATTGAGCATGTTCTTACATTCATTGCACAAATAGAGAGGTGTGGTACTCTATTGATGTCCTAGTTACAGAAAATGTTTGCTTGGTGTTTAGGAAATTGAAAGAGAAAACTACATAACCCTGCAGACTCTCTGGGAGAGACTGCACCTGAACAGTTGGCTAAATGTTCGTATAGTATCTCACAACTAGATCTGAAACTCTTACTACTCTCATTCCACAAAAAAGTTTCAGAATTTCCTTTCTTTAGCATTACCCCAGGTCTCAGCTTGGAACAACTTAGCAAATTTACTGAGCATGGAGGCTTTGTAAGCAAAAATATACAACCCTCATTATGTTTATTTTAAGGACCAGGATTTGGCATTTACGCAGTTGTACATCTTCTTCTTCCCACGATGTCTCTTTGGCTCCATCGCAGCCATGGTGACCATTCTTACTGGGATGTAGCATCTGCTAATTTCAAGCATGCCATTGGCCTTTCCTGTGAACTTGTAGTGGAGCACATTCAAAATTTCATACACTCAGGTATGTCATTTTACTGTCATCTGTCATCAGTGACACGTTACTGATAGCTACTTGTGGAGATGGTTTCATTGCTTTTTGGTTGCTGAAACATAAAATAAGAGGAGGAGGAGGGTTAAAATTTTCTGTTTAGGATTTTTTATTTTTCGTTCTTTGTAGGATTAAGAATTATGGGGAAAAAAATTGTAAGGGACTTATAGAAGTTTATGGTAACTTCCTGCTCAGAGCAGGGTTATCTTCAAAATTAAATCATTCTAGTCTTTAGTAAACTTTCCAAAAGAAGATACAAATACTTTGATCATAAGGAACTAGAACATCAGAAACAGCATCTAAGAGAATTTCTCCTGTACCACTTAAGCCCAGACATTTTATATTGTTAACATCAAAAGGAATTGTCTTATTTCAACTTGATGCAATGCATGTTTCAATACCTGCATAAAAAGAATTTGGTTTTGCAAATTCTCTGAACAGCATTTAAGTGTAGCAAGACTGTGTATCTCTAATTATAATGAAAAGGCAATGATGTCAAAAACAGCCTGTGTCTTTTCCTTATAGATATTGGTTATGAAAATATGATCAATACTATGCTGAAAGATCTTTTCAAGTTGCTGGTAGCCTGTGTAGCAGAACCAACAGAAATTATTTCCAGAGTTGGCTGCTCTTGTATCAGGTAACCCAATCTGTTCACTCTTAGCATAAAATTAAAAAAAAATGTCTATGTCTTTGAAGAACTTGTGGACTGATTAAGTTGGTCAGCATCTCAAAAGATGTCCACAATATATCTTACCTCTTGTTATTTGAATAATGAATTTTAGACTTACTAGCCTCTCCTTGCTGTTTTCAGTGTGCTTCAGAGCCTGAGATTTTAGGCATTACTATATGTATGGTTCCCATTAAAAACTCTTGGACATTACTTTATATATAGTTAGTCAATAATCAGTCCTTAACAAAAATACTCAAGAGTTTTTCCATTGGAATTCACATGTCTGTAGAGGTAATTAATATCTTCCACAGTGTTCAGGTTATTACAGTCATAATCAAAATAAGCACTGCATTTATATATTTAGACAACGTATGGTTCTTGTGGCAAGATGAGTACTTAAAGAGGAAAAACAAAGGAGAAAAGAAGTCAAAACTACAGTGTAATTACAAAACCAGGTCAGGATAACAACTGAGATTGGATAACATTAATTAGCTACTAAATAAGCCTTTTGTTCTGTTTTCATATAATCATAGAATGGTTTGGGTTGGAAGGGACCTTAAAGATCATCTAGTTTCAACCATGCTGCCATGGGCAGGGACACCTTCCACTAGACCAGGTTGCTCAAAACCCCTTCCAGGCTGCCTTGATCTCTTCCAGAGATGGAGATTTTCAACCTTGTTCCTTTACAAGTAAGAATTGTCTAGTTCCTGCTTTAACATGGTAACATTTTCCTGTGTTCTTGCAGGTACGTGTTAGTGACAGCAGGGCCTGTTTTTACTGAAGAGATGTGGAGGCTTGCCTGTTGTGCCTTGCAGGATGCCTTCTCTGCCACTCTGGAGCCAGTAAAGGTAAAACTGCCTTTTTACCAACAGTCAAAATGTAATCACACTGTATATAGACTCATTAATCTTTGACAGGTTGTTTTTTCTTCTTCAGACAAGTTTTTGTGTACAGAGCCAGGAAAAGAAGCCTAAAAGTTATGTGGTAGCTTTTGTTAATTTGTCAATTCACAGTGAAGCATGTTGGATCAACAGTGGAGATTGAAACCAGTTTTTCTAAACATACAGACAAAACTAGTAGCTAACAGACTTATTTTAAATTACCTTGCCAGCATGAAATTAGAAGAATTCTGTAGGTGAAAGCTTCTTTTTTGATCCATTTCTTCCTCTGGATTGACTAAAACTAGGCAGAAGACAATGTTGCTTATTTAACCTTGCAGCTGCATGCTCCATATGGCTTAGTTTTCAACTCACTGGCTGTCTTGTAAACAAAACATCCTCTTAAGTCACTGCTGACCAGAGTACATAAGAAGCTGTAGTGCCTTTACACTGGATGTATTAAATTGCTGAATGGCAGGTGACCACCTGATGGTAATGGGACAGGTCACTCTGAATCTTGTATTTTACACAAACAGGCTGGACATTGCTACAGTCACTGAATTGTTTAACGTAGAGTGAAAGTCTGATGTTTTGTCCATCTGTAGAACCTGCTGGGCTATTTCCACAGTGGTTCTGAAAGCTTTAGTGGAGATGCCTGTGAAGTGAAGGTGGCAGCCCCCTCCCTCTCGCCAAGTGCTGAAGCTGAATACTGGAGAATCAGAGCCATGGCACAGCAGGTACTGACGGATGTTTCAGGGCAAGTCAGAGAACCTTTTAAACTTGGAGGTTTTCTTTATGAAAGTAAATTTTTACCACCACCTTCCTCACAAACCCTACAGGCAAGGACTTCCTCATCACCACACTAACACTTATGTAATAGCAGTATTCAGAAAAACTTATAAAACCCAGAAAAATAAAACCTAAAAACTGTCTCCTGGTAAATAGGGATTAGGAATGCCTAGAGTGGGGAAAGATGCATGAGTACCTGAGGAGAACTGATGATGAGCCTATTGTGTAATTAGCAGCATCAGCATACATCAGTGGAAACCTTTCTGATAGAGAAACATGTTACCATGAATCCCCATCTAAAATGTCATATACATTTCTGTTTATTCTGTTAAAGAACAATAAATTCAAAGGACAAAAAATGTGCTAGAACAGAGATGGGGATATTAAATTAGGAAAACAAGATTTGTTTAACCTATCAAAGCAGAGTTTTTAGAGAAATGCAGATTTTTTTTTTTTTACTCTATAAATATCTAGGTATAGGTTGCAGAGAAGAAAAAGAGTTGCTGGGAACTAGAAGATAATGCTGATATTTAAAAAATTATTTAAAACTCACAACTAACTCCTCATTAGCAAAGCAAACTTTGAGACAACTTTCTTAGGGTCCTTTTGACTACAGTGGAGGTTATTCATTTTATGGAAGTAGTTACATGAAACAAGTTCTTTGAAATACAGAACACTGAAATTAATGACCTGTGGGGAACCATAAAACTCTAAATACCATATGACAGCTTTAGCATGGGAAAGCACCTAGATCAAAACGGCTAACAGATGTTTGGTATCAATTTCTGACTTAAAAAATCATATCTTGATGCTGCTTGAAAATCTGAAACACACAGACACACAATTAATGTGGCAGTGGCAGACATTGTTTGAATAGAAAAAAATGTTTTAAAAAAATGTTTTAAAAAATGTTTTAAAAATGTTTTAAATTAAGTTTTAAAGATGCAGAACTCAAAAAAGCGGGGAATGTGGCATTAATACTTTTCTTGTAGACACTATCAGTGGCACTCCCTGAGTCCTTCTCAGTGGGGATTTACCGCAACTATGAAGCTACAAAACAAAGCTACAGCAACTGAGTTATTTCCCCATTTCCCACCGTCCTGGTTTTGGCTGGGATGGAGTTAATTTTCTTCCAAGTAGCTGGTAGAGTGCTGCGGTTTGAATTTAGTGTGAGAATAATGTTGACAACACACTGATGTTTCAATTGTTGCTGAGCAGTGGTTACTCTAAGTCAAGGGCTCTTCAGCTTCCCATGCTCTGCCAGGGAGGAGATGCACAAGAAGCTCAGGGGGACAGCTGATGGAAACTAACCTGAGGGATATTCCATGCCATAGAGTGTCACGCTTAGCATGTAAACAGGGCAGGTTGGCTGGCAGGGGCTGATGACTGCTCAGGAACAGACTGGGCATCTGTCAGTGGGTGATGAGCAACTGTACTGTGCAAGTTCATTTCTCTCTCCTTCTTTTGTTGCCTCCCTTTTTGTGGTGGTGGGGGTTGTTGTTATTATTATATTTTATTTAAATTATTAAACCGTTTTTATTTCAACCCATGGATTTTACCTTTTCTTTTCCCTGTTTCTCTTCCCTATCCTTGAAGGGGGTGGGTGTGGGGTGTGGGAAGCAGTGGCTATGTGGCACTTAGTTGCTGGCTGTGGTTAAACCACCATCCACACACAAAGAATTGCATACTAGATTTCTGTATCTTAATGGCTGAAAATAATCCTTCTGACAACCAGCCTTTCTAGGTGCAACAGGGCTAACTATGCAAACAGGTCCTTGTCTCCACTATACTTGATATTTTCTGATAGTAGTGTACAGGCAGCAGAAAGCTTGTTTTGGCTTTTGGTACTATGCCTTATACAAGTTCAAAGAAAAATATGTCTGTCCTTTGCCCTGTTCTCTATGGATGTCTGGAGGTAGAGCCTGTCAGAGCCTCATTGCTCTGAGACTGTTTTACCAAACCAGCATGCTCCAGGGAAGGTCTGCCTTGGGGGATACCTTGCATTCTCTCTATCACTATAAAATAGTTCAATATGACAGATTTTTTGCAATTTAGATAATCCTATTCTTGGGTGCCTCCAAGAACCCAGTGCAAGTGCTAAACTGACTGTTTTATGTCACTTGTTTTCTAGGTCTTCATGCTGGAGACTCAGTGCTCTCCAAAGACCCCTAGCAACAAGGAAGGGTTTGAACATGCCCAGTCATGTGTACTCATCATTGACTTGCCACCAGATAAGAAACCAAATGGGCATAGCCAGAGAAGGTAAAGTATCTTACCAGGAAACTACTGTGTCATTAAAAGTAAAATAGAAATATTTCCCTGCAGATATGTGAACTGAGTCTGGCAAACTATACCTCTCCCTAGAACTCATAAAAAGAAATGAATACTCTGATCAAATTAGGTTTTGTGACACTGTTATGTTTGTAATGATACCTTGCAAGTGCAATGTCTGCTTCACTAATGGTCTTTTAAATTCAGTATTACTCAATTAAGAAGGTGAAAGAAGTTAATGGATAAGCTGGAACAGTATAAATTGAAGAGACCACATCCAAAGCTATGAAAAACTGTCAACATATTTGAGCTAGGGAACATTGATTTTGCTTGGCACTTTATTTTTGTGGAAGTCCTTCCATTATGTTACTGCCTCAAAAATTCATGCATTTGCATGACAATCTGATCCTGTCAAAGAATATTTCTCTTTGCTTGCACTCAGTTGTTTTAACAACTGATGTAATGTCAGTAGGGCCAAGAATCAAATTCTGCATTCAGGGTTTGTGTTTTTATTGCAAGGTATGAAATACATGGCATGAAATTGTCTTTTACAAAATACCAAACCTACTTCTGTACCACTTCAGGCAATCTCATTCAAATCTAAACTATTACTTGCAACAAGGAGCTGGGATGTGATGGTCCTTCTTTGGCTGAACAGGAAGAAAGACCATACAAGATGTCTCTGTTCTTACACTGCTTGCAGAAGTTTCCCCTGAGAGCAGGTGCTCTGTTTCCTTGCGTTCCGAGCACAGGGCCCCGTGCAGAGACAAAGAAAGCTTAAGATCACAGTCTAAACCCTTCGTTTGTGGTGGGGAAATATCTGCTTTATCCAAAATTTAGCAGATTATTATTCTTGTTAAAATGAAAGCAGAGCGAAAGACTGGAGTACTTACCTCTCACAGCACGTAAGGCCATGCAATCTAACAGGCTCTGTTTGTAAAGGGAGTGTGGGCCTTGCTTGTCTTTAGACAAATAAATAAATAAAGCTTGCAATTAGTACAAACTCTGAATGCTCTCACACTGCGCTTTGTCTAAACAACTGCAAAAAGTGTATATGCCAGTAGGCAAGTGCTACCCCAGCAGTACTCATTTTTTCACCAAAACATAGCTCAAAAGTTGACTGTGCCACTGTTTTTCTCATTATTTGCTACAGCAGTGCAGTAATATGCCAGTCATGCATGCTAGTAACTGTGGCCTTTCAAAAGTTTTACTTTAACCTTAGCAGGGTTTCTCTTCTCCCTTTTGCTTTTGTTTCCTTAATGCTGCATCGTTTCACAGGAAGCTGGGGTAAGGGAGCTTTTCTTCTTCCTAAAAAATAATCATAATTTCAGTTTGAAATTTTGGGCAGAATAAGAAAATACTATCCTTAACCAGCTTTGACACTGTGTTTTCACCTATATTGCTGTACTAGTTTGTTTTGGGATTGAGCAGTGCTTTACACTGTACTTGTAAATTGCTTTTTTGGCTATTACAAGGAAAGCAGATCTCCTTCATTCCTGACTACGCTTTTGAAACAGGATTAGTTGCTTGAAATCACTGCAAGCTCTCATTTAACTTTATACATGTTCTTAAGAGCTTTTCTGAGTCAGAGCCTCTAATGATATTTACAGCAGAAAACTACTTCCCCATAAAGAACTCCACTATATGTGTTAAGAGTCAAGATTTTAGCACTGTGAGATAAGTTTTACTGATGTATCAGCACTGACAGCTATATCATAGTACGTGAACTGACATGAGTAACTTAACCCAAGAAGAACAGTCAGAATTTTTTTTTTCAATGTTTCATTCTCAAAACTGAATTTTTATATGATTTCTCAAAAAAAAAGAAAATTAAAATTAGACGTCTTATTTTGGTATTCCCAAACACTTTTGAAAGTTGTTTAATGAAAGTGGAATAATTTTTGCAGCAAAAAATATTAAAGGTCTACAACTGAACTTTTCATGTTACATGAAGATTTGCCTTAAGTTAGACCTAAAAGTTCAATATTGCAAGCAAACTGAAAAATCTCTTCCTCACTTGATAGCCATGCAAATTAAAACGCAACCCATCATACATCGAAACAAGTATTGCTATATGCATCTGCTCCATTTAAAACATTGCCGCTGTAGTCTTATGCAAAGACTTTTTTTTAAAGACCTTAAGATAGGTTCCACACTTTATAATTTTAAATCCATGAGATACCAAACAACAATTGTGTCCACCCTTTCTTCCAAGCCTTACTTGCCTGTAAGCCTCTCAATGTTACTTACCGGTGAATGACCTAAAAACTTTGTTTGGAGGAATTTGCCATTCCTGGGTCTCCTGTGCAAATCAAATATTAGTGAGGGCTAGAATAACTCCCAGCATCTCTCTAACAGGAGCACAGCTAAGAATACCCAGTATTGTATGTGAAAAACAGGGTTAGGAGTACATATTTCCATGCTAGCTTCTCAGTGTTCAAGTTGGTCTTAAGAGCAAACACAAGAGTGACATGTGCCTTCAGCCAGACTTCAGCTTCTTTGCATGCTGCATTGCACTGCTGCTGTTTCTGTACATGTTTATTTGTTGGTTCATTGGCTCTTTGAGGTTTATTTTTCAGAAATACTCTTGGCATTAGTGGAAGTGGAAACCAAATAGTAAACTAGTTTTGGCTTCAATTTGTCATACCAAAGTTAAGGTTGTCTGACGTTGGTGGATGGGTAACTTCTGTGTTAGCAAGTCCCTCAGTTATAGCAGGCTGAAATACTGAGCATACTTGCAGCTGCCAGAATATTAAAAAACAGAATATTTAATCCTTCAGTGTCAGATACTGGAGAAAAGGACAAAAATCATATTAGAGTTTTGTTTTAATACCACCTTTACATAAGTGCCGTTAGTGGCTTGCTGTGGGCAATTTTTGCTTAACCAATGCAAGAATCTTCTCTTTTAGGAAACTATTTGAAAGAGTAGCCGAAAGACCATTCTAGACTGCTTTATCTTTCTCCACTTCTTTAGTAACAAGGCTGTAAAAATTTGCCCTTTCATTTGCACTTTTCACATTAGGTTTTACAATATATAGTTCTCTACTCCTAGTAAAAGTGCAATGCACCGTTTTAATATTCTGTGGTTTTTTTCCTTCTTATGCTTGGTTTACCAAGTATTCCTTTCAGGACGATAGTGGTAAGCTTGCTGTCCCACCAAGTACTACTCCAGAATTTATATGACATCTTACTGGAAGAATTTGTGAAAGGCCCTTCTAACTTGGAGGAGAAAACAACAATACAAGTACCAGAAAACAAGTTGGCTGGTTTTCTCAGGTACATTTCCATGCAGAACCTGGCTGTCATCTTTGACTTACTGCTGGACTCCTACAGAACAGCCAGAGAGTTTGACACGAGACCTGGTTTGAAGTGTTTGCTGAAAAAGGTGTCTGGCATTAGTGGAGCTGCCAACTTGTATCGACAGTCAGCAATGAGCTTCAACATCTACTTCCATGCCTTGGTCTGTGCAATCCTGACAAATCAGGAGAACATCACTGCAGAGCAAGTGAAAAAGATCCTCTTTGAAGATGATGAGAGAAGCACAGACTCATCACAGCAGTGTTCTTCAGAAGATGAAGACATTTTTGAAGAGACTGCCCAGGTCAGTCCTCCCCGAGGGAAGGAGAAGAGGCAGTGGAGGGCTCGAATACCATCTCTGAGCGTGCAGCCCATCAGCAATGCGGACTGGGGGTGGTTAATCAAGCGGCTTCATAAGCTCTGCATGGAACTCTGCAACAACTATATCCAGATGCATCTGGACCTGGAGAATAATGTAGAGGAGCCTTCAGTGTTCAAAGGTGACTCCTTCTTCATTTTACCATCTTTTTACTCAGAAACTTCCACCCCATCAACTGGAGGGCTATCTGGAAAGGACACACCATCGGAGGATGACCGGAGTCAAATCAGGGACCAACTGGGAGACAGCCTGACGCCTCGAGGAGGGAGTGGAGAAATGTTGCTGCTCCCCCCACCCTTAAGTCCTAAACCAGAGAAAAAAGAGCAAACCAAGAAAAAAGAATGGTGGGAGAGTGCTGGCAACAAGATCTACACCATAGCCACTGACAAAACCATCTCCAAGCTCATGACAGAATACAAGAAGAGAAAGCAGCAACAGCAGGCCATGACATCCTTCACCAAAGAGGTCAAAGTGGAAAAGAAAGGGGAGCTCCTGGGTTCAAGAGGGCCAGACTCACCCGTGCTCCAGCGGCCACAACATCTTATAGATCAAGGTCAGATGAGGCATTCATTCAGTGCTGGTCCAGAGATCCTGAGACAAGAGAAGAGACCACGCTCAGGATCTACAGTCAGCTCCTTGAATATATCTGTTAGGGATGCTGAGGCCCAGATACAGGTAGGACATTCTTGTGGAATGCTAATAATAATAGCAATAAATAAAAATATACCTATACATATTTTTAATTGATTTTATTATAATCCTTTCATTAAATACCTTTTTAGATAAAGAAGTCTTCATGATGAGCACTGAATCTTGCAGCAGCTGATACTGATAAAAACCTGATTTTGTCCTATTAAAAGAAAGTCAGTCTTTAGGGAAGTGTTATCAGGCATATACTAGTTCAGCTTTCAAGTGTGTTTCTGTGACTTAGGTCAAAGCAGCACTTAATATTTAAAAACTGATAACCTACAGCAAAATCATTGCTTACTGCTGAGGGCTCTAGCCCACTTAAATCTTTTGAAAACACCATGCTCCTTGTCACAATGCTTTTGTACTTGAGGGTTTTTTTGTTAATTCCAGAGCAAAAATAGTGGTCTCTGTTGCTGAAAAGAAACTTGCTGCTTTCATGTCCAAGTGAACAAATTAGTGAAAGCTTCAAACTTGACAGACTTCGTTCACTGTGGGACAAAAAAAGGGTGATGAAGGGTGAGCATGATACCTGCAGTACAAAGTCAAACAATTACTTATAGTAATGATTGTGAATTAGAAAAACACAATGAACATTAATGAATATGCTGGCATTACTCAGTCCTCTTCATGAGGCTGTAGCCACCAGATATCTTATTTTGTGCCTCAACCCATGGGCTCATTTGTTTCAGAAGGTCTTCTAAAGAGTCTTTTCTTTCTGTCCAACTTATTTATAGGCATGGACCAACATGGTGCTGACAGTTCTCAACCAGATTCAGGCCCTGCCAGATCAAACTTTCACAGCCCTGCAGCCAGCAGTGTTCCCCTGTATCAGCCAGCTGACTTGCCACGTGACAGATATCCGTGTCCGCCAGGCAGTACGGGAATGGCTGGGAAGAGTGGGCCGAGTTTACGACATCATCATTTAAACCAAGCAGTGCTCTGTTGCAAAGGGCAACAAGGTATACAGCAAAGAAGTATTTGGGGTTCATTAGTTGCCTATTTGTTGGTCATAAATTAAGAAACAATGACCTTGTTGATTTATGTCATCCACTTGAGATTGTGTGTTCCTCGCTCACACTAGCAAAGGAGGCAAAACATGAGTCTGTCCAAGTATCTGGCATGGCCCCAGAACCCAGAAACTACCAGTAAATCAGTCTGGTACCTGAAGGGGTGATACATTTCAGTACCCTTCATTTTAATTCAAATTTGTGACTTGTGGGAGCCACAAGAAACTGCAGCAAAACTTCCACACTCGCAATTAGCTGTGAATGCAACTGTCACGTGGATGTCAAACCAGGTCAGTAAGCCTATGTAACTTTAAAAAATAAATAAATAAATGCAAGCTGGGGAAAAGATGGAGCTATAGGACAAGTAAAAAGGTGACACTTTTTAGGGTAACATTCTTCCTTCAAAAATTAACATGAGAGAGGATAGGCAACTAAAGACTATTGTAGTAACCATATGCATCACTCATTAAAGAAAGGGGAAATTTATTTTGCTCCAAAAAGAACCTTTGAAGTCTGGTCACATTTGGAATAGCTAAAGTATTCCCAGTCTAAAACTGGTGAACCAAGCACAGACTATTCCTTCTTTCATTGCTCTTCTGGAGTATTGCTTGAAGAGAAATGGCACTGTCAAGCTGCCCTCTCTCCAGTGCTACCCTGGCTGCCTCTTCAGCTATGCCTACAGCTGACAATTTTTCCACAGGTTAAATTCCCCTAAGGGTAAAAGGGAAGTTTGTGTTGTGTTTCCTGTGAAGCTGTGAGTAAATACCAGAGTAAATATCAGCATGTGCCAGTATGCAGCATTCAACTAAGCAGAGTAGGGATAAAGTTTTCCAGTTTAAGCAACACTGGCTATGATTCTACTGGAAATTTTTTTGCTTATATAGAGCTGCTGTAGCCAGGAACACCCTTATCACCTTTGTTAAATGTAGGCTATCACTTCACATTGAGCTGAAGCAAGATGGAAAATAGTCTGAAGGGGAGGTATCTTTCCTGTTTCTCTCCCATTTCTTGCCTGCTGCTGTAAATAGAAAGGGACAGATCCTCACAGAGGTTCAACCCCTTCTGTGCAGCACTCCTACAGGGACTACTGCAATTTGCTGTTATGAGTAAGAGGGAGGAGAAGGGGAAGGACTGACTATTGTGTTGTCAAACTCATATGTGATGCTCTTCGCGCTAGGCGCAGCAAAGGGTTACCTTGCTGCACGAGTTATGTCATGGCCCCTGGGACATTCCATCTTGAACTCCCATGCCACATAATTTGTTTATCAGAGTTGAAATAACTTGTTGAAAATAAGTTGATTTTTAATCTTTTGGACCCCTTAATGCTGTTCTCCCAAGACTTTTAAAATGTGCTTACCAACTAAATATACAGCTTCAATCCCTTCTCCAAAGCGTTCTAAAAATGTCATCTCCTTATATCAGGCCTGGATTTTGCACAACTAACTGCTTTTAGCATCTTAAACCTAGAAAAACGGAGCCAAGAGGCTTCACTGAACAGCCATCACCCAAGCTGCTGTGTTTACAAAGAGTCTGCCGCTATCCTCCTGCCTTTTCCCTCTATTGCCTACTTTCCATTTGTCACCTGTTAGACTTGTGCAGCGAATATTTGTCCCATAAATTTCTGTAGTGTCAGTCATGCTGTTTCCCTTTCTTTCAAAACTTCTCTTTGCTAAATTGTTTAAAGGACATAAAAATTCTGTGAAAACAACTCTTTCCTACCACCTAAACTGAATTTATAAATGACCAACAATTTTTTCAATTGTCAATTTTCCCCCAACAGTTTAAATACTTCCTTGGGGACAGGTTAGATTAGCCTTTGGTATCTGGGAGAGCAGTAGCACAGTTTGATTTCTGTTGCCATGTCTTTCTTATACATCTTCAGGTATAGAAAAAGAGTGGTTATATATTTTGTGCAAGTTTTTACTGGGCATCTAGATAGAACTGGTTTTAAAGCAGTACATTATTTAGGTAACAACAGAAATCAGAATAATAGACCATATGCAAAACAGGTTTTCGTTATTAAAAAAAACCAAGTTTTCATTATAAATTTCCTTATAATGTATTTATAATGAAAACAAGTTCTCACTATAAATGCATTGAATGGATGGAGATCCTTGTGGTACTGATCTAAAACTAAAGGAAACCCCTAAATTACATCGGGGAACTAAAATTGGCAGCAGTACTGGTGAAATCACTCAGGACTACAGAAGAGGCCCTAGTATCTAGGAAACACTATGGTTATGTGTTCTGGTTGAAATACAAAATCCTTCTGTAAAACAGAAAAAAAGCTCTAGGAGTGACAATACCACTACCACCTCCCTCAAGTTCATGAACAGTATAATCTAGTGTTATCTGATAAGCCATCTTGACCTAAAATATAATTTCATTTCAACTACTTACACTACAACTACCATACTGGAAAATGAGGAGGAGTAGATTTGCTATACTGCTGTTGCCCTGTTTTAAGCTTTGTCCTTCAAATTGTGCACCAAGTGCCCATTGTCACCCTCAGTGCCTCTTCTTATTAAAACCCCTCCATAAGATGTCATGAGTAACTTTGAGTAATTCCAGAAATGTGATTTAAAAGGAGGGGTGTGGGATTTGAAGCAACAAGCTTTACATAGCAAAATTCAGCATGTGCTGCTCTTCTTTATGTGTAAAATGATAAGCAGGTGAGGAGAGCAGTCCAGGGCCACTTCAGTAACCATTAGTCTGAGCTGTAGGAGCCTTCTGATGCACCTTCAAATTATAAACAGATAAAAAAATTGAGTTGATTCATTGGATTCTCAGCAATTTTTTTGGTAGTTAAGTCATAGACATCAGCAAGCCCCAAAGAAGTAGAACAATAAACATGTGAAGTTACCATTTCATGCCTCATGGCTGCCAGCATGATACCTTCTGACCTCAAGCTTTTAGCTCAAAGGAGGAGCCTGCCAGGACAATCCCAGGAAAAGGTGACTGGCATCAGCCTATCATAAGCTTCAGGAGAGGATTCCCAAGCATTCCAGTCATGTCAAGGTACGTGTCCATGCTACAGCAGCTTTTCTGCTTTCCACTTGTGAGTGGGGAAGAACCTCAGTCCGTAGCACAAAGTAGCCCTTGTATCCACATGTGTAAGTCTTTCTCACACACCTGACCCACTCAAATCCTCACTTATAGCTCTGTAACCTAATGCATGAGCTACAGCAGCATCTTGGCAGCTTTACTGTGGTGGCTTGACATCCTTCTCAGGTACCAGAGCTGCACCTCTGCTGCCATTGCCTAATTCACACTGCCCTCCTCAGAGCCACTGCAGCAAGCAGAGGCGAGGGCATCCCATTTTCAAATCTAGTAGGCAACCACTAACAGAGAAAGTTGCTGTTGTCCAGCATCAAGTACCTTGAAGCACATGAAATAGCTCATCACTGCAAATATTTAAAGCAGACAAAAGCAGAGCACTCATCAAGAAAGTGATTCTTCATAACAGAAGTGGGGTTTGACCCCAACTCACACGGTCTCAGGCCATTGCATGTGTTTGCACTTTATTCTGTACTGTGAACATATGCAGACATATGAGATGATTGATGCAACTACAGATACCTATAGCTCCAGTCACTGTCATATTCTGAGTATTCAGCGTATTTTCAGAGAGCTATCGTGCTGTTCAAGTGTTTATATCACACCTGCACTGGTTAACGCAGTTACTGTGGTACATTTTCTGAGCATTCATCAGCCGTAGAATTACCACCACTATCTCTTGGTTAGCATGCTTTCATGTCCTTAAGATACTAAGATACAGATTTAATACTTTCCTGGGGATAAACACTCATGTGAGAATAACTGACCTAATTTAGCATCTAGAAAGAATTACTAGGAAAAGGTTTAGGCAAAACTTTCCTTGTACAACTCCAGGCACAGGCAACACAGTTTTTTGCCTCATCACAGATAAAAAAATCGTCCTCTGCACTATGGCTGGCTCGTGCCAAGGCCAAACACAGTTTACATCTGTGACTTGTAAGGTGCTTTGCCTTTCAGGCTGAGCTTAAAGTTTTGTTTAAAACCTAAACCTTCACTGTAAAATGCACTGACAAATTCTCGCTCTCCAGAGATTAACTCCCACCTCTAAGTACCTTGCGTTACTGTGTGTAATCTTCATCTGTACTTGATAGAGCAGCATTTCAGTGTTGGTATTGACACTTCAGAGCTTGGCACAGCACTGGCATGAAACTGAGCAGCATACAGACTAGCAAGTAGAGAGGTCCAACTCCATGTGCTGCCTGCACTTTGTACCTTTCTTCACAGGTTAGGCCCACGTTCAAAGTGCCAAAGCTCTTGAAAGCAATGGAAATTAAGTACCTAGACATCTTTATTACTCAGGACTCGGTCCTCGAATCCTTTAGTCTCAACATACGGGTTTACAAGTTCTCAGGAAAGGGTAAGTCCTGTACAGTTCCTCGCATCACCCTTTCTGCTGCTGTCCTCTATACAGCTCCTGCTTGAAAAATCCACAGGAACCAGCAAAAGGTCCCGTGCATCCCAGTGCTGCAAAATTCGAACCTTCACTTTTGCACAGATCCAGTATTAGCACGTAGGAGGCTGACCCAAGCAAGGTGAAGTGTTTTATTTTTTACCTAGCTCCTCATCTGTGTAGAAGCCTATTGAGAAACTGAGTGTGTGGTTCGGCTTTGTCAGCTTTAGCAATCCATTCTAGACATGCCATTTCTCAGTGATAAATTGTTTTTAATTCACAAAAAAAGTGAAGTGCTTTCTCTTTTTTTCCTGCTTTTGTACTAAGATCATGTTTAAGCAAGCTACTTACTCATTACTCCAGTTATAGTCATTTATGGAAAGACCTGTGTGCAGGGCTAATCATGGCATATGACAAAAAAACACCCCAGCTGTATTTTGTAAGTGTAAAAGGACCAAGTTACCATAGCACAGAAGCACAAATGTTGGATTTTATGCAATATAGATAATAGCATCCGGCAGCTAGTGATCTCTCTTCACTATTTTGAGTGGAGCTTCTATAGGGATATGACGAAAGGGTCTCCTCCTAGTGGCCCTCACCAGCAACATGCCTGGGATGCCAGGAAGTTGTACAGCTGCAAGGAAGAAGTCTTACATCCTCTTTCTGTTGTTTCCACTAATCCCCCTCAGAACATATACTTTATATGTGACACTAATATTATACTAAACAGATTTGGCCAAATGTGCAGTGCTGGCTATTTAAAAAGAAAAAATGAAAACACACATGGCCTAAGTATGCACCAGTCTTTTCACTTAGTGCTCAGAGGTCTCCAAGCTGAAAACTAAAAGCAGAGGGAAAAAGAAATGCCCTAATTCTGTGGTTATTAGTGGAGCTGCACTGTATGATCCTGGATTAATGCAATAATGAGCTTGCCTGTGGAACCAGATCCCTCAAATTCCAATTTTTGGCAAAATCACAAGTTGAGGTTTGCATAGTCTCTACTGCCACATTGAATCAGGGTTTATGGAAAGCATTTTTGGTTAAGAAACATGGCAACAGGATCTATTTCAATCCTTTTACCCCAACATCCCACTTTTCAAAAGGTAGTTTATGTACTTCCATAAATTTCATCTAAATACCATGGAGCACCAGGGCCCTGTTTCCTCTCCATGCATTTGGTCCATCTGAGCTGAAGTGCCATGTTTTCACAAGAAGCAAGCTGCAGTGAGAGAACTGAGCTAGCAGAGAGGCACAGGTACACAGATTAAAGCAAGGGACAAATATCACCTCCACAAGCCGGCTGTGGCTCCTGAGCCACCCACTCTGCAGGGGAAGGCAGGATTCGATACCAAAGGGGAAACAGCCAGGAAGGGCAGAGCATGGTGGTGACAGAGCCCTGTACTGCATGCTGTTTGCTGGCGCAGAGGGGAGCAAGAGATTAAAAAGTACGCAATGACAGCAGCAAGCACCTTCTTTCAGTTCCTCCCACTTTCTATTCTCTGCCTCTTTTCTCTCCCCACTTTTTATCATTATTTGTGAGACTGCAAGCATACTTCTGTGGGCCCTTCAACCAGAACTGAAAGTAAGCCAAAGGGAGTGGACACTCCATTTCACCAAAGATCTAAGACTTTCCTGTTTGAAAATTAGAAAAATAAAATTTTATTTCTATGATGATGGCTGCCACAGGAAGCATTTTACCACAAAACATGATTCCCAGGACTTAATCTCTCTAGCTGTATATTCAGGAGGAGTCAATAGTATTTTTTAAGAGAGACTATAAATCACCTTGTCAAGCAAGTGCTTGCATGGGGTTTACCTTCTGCTGATTTGATACCTAGTTGCAATTCCTTGGTCTCATCCGTGTTTCCTCCCTCTACCTTTCTGCTCTTCTTTAGAAAAACACCTCCCTGTGTCTGCTGCGTCCTGTTGTGCCGCTAGCTTTGTATGGTCCTTGGGTGTCCAGTGGTCGGGCAGTCACTGTCAGCTGGCTTGCAAATTGTATTTTGTGTATATTTTATTCTGATTGAATTCTGAAATGGAAATATTTTAAAACAAAAAGTATAAACTATTTATGTTGTTTGTGTTGTAGAATAAAGATTCAAATGCAAAATAAATTATGCTCTGGTTCTAACAAAAGTTACTTTACAGTTCCTGATGAAGCAAAGGAACAGAACTGAGAAAGAGCCTGAAACATGTGATATGTACCAGCAGGGACTGCAGTTTTCATGAATCACATGGGGAATTTAGTCACACTTGAACTGCTGGGTTTTTTTGATGGCAGGTGAGATCTAAACACTGTAACAAATGAGTTGTGCAGCACTCGTAGCCGGAGTCTGGGCTTGTAAGGGTAGAAAAGGATAAAGCTACTGAGACAGCTAAAGGTGCAAGTAGATATACCATGCAGAATGTTTGAACATCTAAACTGGTGAATCATTTCTCCCTCCATTAAAATGAGGAAAATACTTTTGTTTTTTATTTCATTAGAGATTGGTTCATTGGAGCTCTCATGCACAGTCAAACTTTTGTTGCATTTTTAAGCTAGGCATTCCCTGACCACAATCAGTTTAGCTAGCGCTCAACACGTGTTCCCAACCTACAGGAGCATGCAAACAGTATGGTTGCTGCCGTGTTTCATCCTGCTGAAAAGCTCAGCAAGGGCTCTCCCCATCACCTAAATTCCTCTTTTGATTAAAGTTGAATCAGTGATTGCTCCTGATGACAAAAAACCATTTGTTTAATGCAAATACTTAATGAAAACAGCAAACACCTTCACAGCAGCATCACATGCTTTTGTATGCAACCAAAATTAAAGTACTGGAGGAGAACGGGTTGGCCACTACCCCTGTCAAAATAATTGCCATAGGGCTTCCTGAAAGCAGGAGTGTTCCAGCAACAATACATAGCATCATGTAATAACCTTTAGGGTACAACTCTGTGTGCTCAGGGATGCTATCCCCAGCCCAAAGGCAAGTTTGCCACGTAAGAGTGAAAATGCAGCCGGCATTCTCACCTGGCCTCACTGGGTTCTCTGGGCGTGGGCTCCCATCCACTGAGATGACACAAGGTCTGGCCTTTGATGTCTGTTATGTAACAGCCTCATCAGCATGAAGGTTAAGAGCAGATTACAAAGCAAATAAATGAGGTTGTGATGCTTTAATAATCTTACACACTTCTGGCAAAACAAGAGTGTGTTAAATCCTAACCGTCAGATCTAATTTCATTCCAGGAGACTACCTTCTGCTGCTCCATACGTCGCGTTTAGATCCCATTAGAAAGATTTTCATTTTCTCCTAAACACCACTCAGGAATGTGAAACAGCAACAGGGTAAATACAGAAAGTACTGCTCCACTATTTCACTCACTCCTTACATGTACAAATTTCCAGTTGCCTTCCCACTTAATGCTGGAGTCAGACTAGCATGGCTTCTGCTGCCACTGATGCAAGAGGTCCACATGTGATAAAAGGGGTGACCTTGCTTCGTACTTATCTAGAAGACACTAGATCTTCTTCTATTATCGAGGAGCAAAGTGTTAAGAACATTCGTCAAAGAAACCAGCTATCAAGAAATATTTAAAAAACAAACAAAAAAAAACCAACAAAGGGACTAAACAGGCACATGACTAAATTTCACTATTAAATTGGTTCACTGAGCAGTCCTGTGGCAGAAGCCAAAATAAGAAGTAGAAAGGCCTGGGTTCTGTCTGCTGAACTATGTGAAATGAAGGGTGATCTCTTGATTTTAGAGCTTTTGGCAAAGAAGCTAGCATCAGGATAAACCTCTTAACGTCTAATATCACCGTAAACAAACACAAATTGAACTCTATCCAAATGCTTGACACAGTGTCCTGGAACAGTGCAGTCAGTATCCAGATTTCAAAACCCAGAGAATCCCAAATAAATTAAAACAATTTTGTTGTAAGCACAGGTCAGCTAGATCCTACTCTTATCATGGAGGAAAAAAAAAAAAAGAAAAAACTCAAACCCAACAAATTAGTGAGGCTGCGTGTGCAATTTTCTGACTCATGATAGAAATCTACTGTAGTAAATCTGATTTGTTTTTTTGTTTTTTTTTGGTTTTTTTTTTGTAAGAGATTTGTACCTTTATCTACACTGTAATTACTGGGAAATCTGTATCCATAAAGTAGAAGCAATACTTGTGATTTACCAGCTCTCAGGAAAGATGCCCAACCTGAAATGTTTTTGTTCGTTGTGGTTAGTGTGACCACTTCTGAGGAGATCTCTCATCATCTTCCTTCCCTACCACAGTCAAACAAAATTAGTAAAGATTAATTTAGAATACTTTACTGTGTAGCATTTATAAATTATTTACTATGTTTTTAAATGTTACATTACATCCCTGGCAGACTGCTTTGTACTTCAAATCAGTTCCTCCTTTGTGCCAGAGATTACAGGGAGAAAGAGATCAAAACAAAACTGGATAAGATGCTATATTGAAATCTATCCTTGTAAGTAATTTTGTCCAGGAAGTGAGAAACAGGCAAATCTTCAAGCTTGTGAAACAATAATGTCAAACATAATGAGAACGTGGAAAATGGCTTTGAAAATGTATTGCAGTAACTAATCTAACGAGAGGAAGGTGACAAGGCTCTTGGTTCATAATGCTCACTTGTAAAAATAATTCATCTTCCCTTTAGAAAACACAGGAATCGATTTCTGGGTAGAATTGTCATGGTGGCACCACAAACGCAAGGGCCCTGATAAAAATGTTCTTTTAAAATCCCAGCTGCAGAGATGGTCACCAGAGCAGATCTTATATCTCTCTTGCATACATTACCTTTTCTTTTAAAAGGACACTAAATAATTGAATATCTCAATGCAGGCTCTTGTGACCAGCCCTAAGCCCAAGAGAATAAAGACTGTTAGTTTGCAAAGCCAACCATGAAACAAAACAAAAGAAGATTTAAATCTAGTTTGATAATTATTTTTTACAAGTTTTCAATTTTTTAGACAGAGCTGTGCTGCAAGTAGGACAAGAAGTATGACCACTGTTAAGTGTTTGTTGGAAGGGAGGGTGCATAGGGCAAGCTGTGTCTAGACAACAGCACAGATCTGCACAGATATGCAGGGACTGCTAAAGAAAAACAGGATGAGAAAGAGCCTGGGGCAGGACACAAGAGCGAAACTACATCACTTTTTGTGTCTCTTTTAGACACTCAAACCAAGCCAGGCTGGCTGGACATGCATCCCTCTCAAGAAGGCTTCATCCTGCATATGGCAAAAAGTAATGTTTGGAGCCAAATAAAGTTTAAAAAAACCTAAACGCTGAAGAGCAACATCATAACATAAATACCTCTAACCAGTCGGTTCTAGTGCAGCCCCTACAACCTGGGCACATTATAACTGCTCACCCATACAGGCCCTGTTGACCCACAGCAGCCCCCTGGTTCCTCTTACTGTAACAGACCAAGTCACTTGAGACTGAGAGTGTGAGGATATGCTGTGATAGGAGGATCCCCACCTTGTAGCAGGATCGAATAACTTTATTTATCCAACAGACAGTACCCAACGACAGACATACCTCAGACGTTCTACTTACAGCTGATTCTCTTTGTATTCCACTGCCCCAAGCAAAACCTACTTGTTCTCTAAGAAGAAAATCCACATTTAATCAGCCTGGTCCCAGGCTTTCGCCACTGTCCAACTCTGAGCGACACTGGAGTTTCACACAGGAGCAAGATTTTGCACGGCAGCATCAATGCAGCCCATGCAGCCTGAATTGGAACACACATTGGGGCACCCTCTTCCCGCCTATCCAGAATCAGGTCTTTTCACAATACTCAGTCTTTTCTGAATGCAGTTCCTATTTTCTCAGTACTCTCTCAAATGACAATAAAATCTCCTGAATTTAGGACATGACGGACTGTACACTTGGAAGAACTGTTCAGATCATCCATGCAACCAGCCCAAACGCCAGAGCAGAGTCTTCTTTTTGTTTTGCTACAGTTTTGGCCCTTCTTGTAGAAGCCCTCACCTCAACATCAGCTTTTCACAGAAGGCACTGTCACATAACTGTGCATCTGTGCACATCAACACATCATTCTTGGGCTGCAGCTTGCATGTGCTAGCTGAAAACCTAGCCTGTTGTAAAGCTGCTCACACTGAGTAGTGGTTCTCAGCAGCACCACTGTCCAGGTATTCCTAATGTGCAACTATTCCCCTCCAAGCATTCAAACACCCCTTAGACAACACCTTTCTTTCATGATCCATTTGCAATGCCACTCCCAGCTGCCAGGCTAAGCCTCTCATTTTAAGAAGCCACATTTAAAGCCTTTGCATCCATGGTTTTCTGTGGAGGGTGTTGCATGATTCCTTATTTTTTCTAATACCAAGACCCTTTCATTTCCAATCCTGTAGCATACTTTCCACTTGCATCTCCTTAAGCTCTTATCTCCCTAGCCTGAGAGAAACTGTGGCAGTGCCTTTACCCTGTTGTCCCAAGTGTTCTTGTCCTTATGGCCTTGTACTGGTCATTTCTGAACTATTTTTACATTGGAAATGCCTGCCTTTCATCTTTAACTCATTCCCTTTTTCCCCTCTGCCTCCTGACATCTTAAGTTTCCAGTCTACAGCTCCATTGTAAGAGCTCTTGAGCCTTCCCCTCGCAGTTTTTAGCAGGCAGTTTCTGCACCTATGAGGGTAATAGCTTTTTATTTATCCAACAGACAGTACCCCATAACAGACATGATCAAGGCACAGCAAACAACCAGCATGCAGCTCAGGCACCACATCAAGTGTGACGTGACTGACGCTTAACAGCATCATAAGCAAAAACAACCAATGGGGAATTTGAGCAGCTCCCAGTGGGTCACGCTCAGCACTGTTACATGCCACCTGCTGCACCAAGAGGACACCCCAAGGAGGAGGACACCTGCCTGGGTGTCCCTCACTTCCCACCTCCCTGGTGGGGAGAAGTTTTCCCTTTTCTCTGCTGCTTCAGGTACCCCTACCACCAGCTCTGCTAATAAAGCTTTATGCATTTAAGGTTAGCTGACCTGCCTTTGTACAACAAATCTAGGCTTGACTGCCATTTTGCTGACAAGTTGAACCATTAACCAGTGTACTTGAGAAAATAAAGATCTTGCCACATCTGCAGATTTGGGGCCTCTTTCATATACAAGATTTTCTTAATGTATTTCATTTCTATAGCAAACTTTTTCTTACATGTTGCAGGAGGCTGTGCATCTTGTCCATGAGTTTGAAGTAAATATCTTTAGATTCAAATCAGGAGATTCAGCTTCAGGATGTGAGCTCTGAATTGG